TTTTAAACTGGTACTCTTGACAGCAGGCACAGGAAACCCTTGAGAATTGTTTCAAGGGTAGTAAACTTTGGCTTCCTTTATAGTAGTGGGTTTTCCTCCCCAGGCCAGGCTGGTCTCCTTGAGGTTAGCAGGTTAACTTTCAATGCTTTCTCATTCTTTTTTTCCTACCACTTAAGAGAGTAGAAAAAGAAATGTTTACATGGTTAACTGATCTATTGCTGTAGTTTACTATCCAAATTTATTGGACGTTTACACTAATTTTAAGTGAACTGCATTTTCAGTTTACGGTTTGTGTTGACACTGTTTAAGTGGCCAAGGAGTACCTAGTTCTACATTTTTCCCACTTTAAGTGGGAAATCTAAATAAGATTGGTGAATTTTATTAATATTGCAGTATTCCAGCTTTGTAAGATGTTACTAGTGGGAAAAAGTGGGTAAAAAGTACAAAAGAATTGAATTATTTCTTACAAATTCATGTGAATCTATAAATATCTCAAAGTAAAAAATAATAATAATTTAAGAAATGCAAAAAAAAAAAAGAAAAAGAACAAAGACAAAGTGTACAGGGAGGATCAAAGACTGAAAATGTGAGGCAGTCATCAAAGTTCAGGAAAGAAGAATTTCTTCTTCCACCATAACTTGCTAAGTTGGGCAAATTACTTAACCTCTCCAAAAAAAAACCTGTTGTAATATCAACTACTTTTTTGTTGTAAGTATTAAATAAAGAGATTTGTGGACAGCATTTGGTTCTGGCATATGGCAAGCTATCTTTAGGAGTTAATACCTGAAGGGAATCAGAATAAAATAAGGAACTTACAGTTTTGCATAAAGACTCAATATTCACATATTTGCAGTTATGCCCTCTATTTCTTGTCATAAAATGAGTGAAAGGAGAACCTGGTTAGAACACCACACATATGTTGGTATGAGTTGGCCACTTTGTATAGTCTGCTGGTCACAGCACAGATAACCAATCTCACCTGAAGTCATGCAACTGAAATTTGATGCATGGTCTCTTTAGGATAGAACAGCCTTAGCAAGTTCCCAGAGGCCTTTCAACTCTTTGCACCATTACAATGCTATATAAAAAAATGTGCATTAAGGACTATTTACATTAAGCTTTACCCTGAGTATGTGGTAAGAGTCTAGGAGAATTGTGCATTTAATCTAAGTGTAAGGTTTATTTATTTTTTCATTCTAATTTCATAATTGCATCCTTAATTTCATAATATGCCTCCTTAAAATATCAACTACTGTTATTTGCAATTGTTTTGATTCTTCTTAGAGTAATCAAGTCAGAGGATTATATGACTTTTATCTGCCTAGAGAAGAACTATGGATCTACAACATGGAGACTGGAAGATGGTAACTGGGTATTATGCGGGGGGAGGGGGGGGAGACTGAAAAAAAAAAAACCAAATTACATTGCAAAGCAAAAAAATATTTTAAGGAGCTAGAGATATAGTTCAGTTGGTACAGTGCTTGCCTAGAATACCCAAGGCCCTAGGTTCAATCCCCAGAACCACCACCAAAAAAAAAAAAAAAAAGATGCTACTCTGAAAACAATGTTCTAGTTTAACTGTTTCGTTTCTGTTTAAAATATCTTTTCAGAAACAGTTCAGTAATTACTAGGTACTTTTATGACCTTAGAATAAATTTTTATTCAGGGCACTGTAAATACTATTCAGGGCTCTGTAAAGTACCAGGAGGCAGCAGCTTCAGACCTTGGAATGAAAAGATGATAAAAGTTCCATATACCCTTTTTAAATATATGATATCTTAAGATATATGTCTTCTGTTACATGGTATCTTAAGATTTAGTTTGTTTGAATTGTTAGGTTTTAGATGGCTTAGAATTTTATCTGCTAAAAATAAGTTCTACACAAATCTCTTAAAAAAGAGTATATTCTGACCTGGTGATATAGCTCAGTGGTTATATCACCCTGGATCACCCTTAAAAAAAAGAAAAGAAAAAAAAGAGAATGTTCTCTTTAAAAACCAAAATGAATCTTTTCTTTTATATAAAACTAGAATATCTCTTTTGCCAATTGCACAACAGTGATAAATAAAGAACATGTCGCTCAAATTAAAATGTTGCTCAAAATGCTGGGTGAACCATGTTTGGGGATTTATAAAAGGGTTTCCAATGGTTTGGTTTGTGAGAACTTTGCACTTTGATATTTTACCTATTATAAATCTAAGAACAGGAATATTAGAATAGTAGGCCCACTTGAGGACTGGGGCTATAGCTCAATGATGCGAATACTTGCTTAGTAAGCATGTGGCCCTGGGTCAAGTCCTAGCACTGACAAAAATGGAGGGGAAGTCCCACTTAAGAGTTAAACTAAAAGTCAGGATTATTTCTGGATTATAGCAAATCAGTGTTACTATGAGCTATTTGCACATCTTTTTCTAGAGAACTGGAAACTTTTACTAGTACAGTATTCCCTAATAGAGGACTTCTACATATTTTTAAATTAAGAGTTTTAAAGACTAGACATGGTGGCATACACCTTTAATTTGCAGTTTAGGAGGCTAGGGCAGGAGGATTACAAATTCAAGGCCAGCCTGGGCAACAGTGAGACCCTGACTCAAAATATTAAAAGCTAGGAATGTGGCTCATCTATCCTGGGTTCCATCCCAATAGCACACACATATACTCAAAACGTTTTTTAAAAATAAGCCTACCAAAATGAATAAATAAGTAAAAATAAATTTAAAAAAAGACAAGTCAAATTTCAGGGTTAGCAAAGATGAACTGATAAATGTATCTGTGTGAACAGAGGACCTTGAATGTGCTATTAATATTATGAATCCTAGAATTTTTTGATTCAGATTCATTTTTAGATTCAGAATGAGTCAATACATACCAAAGCACTCACAAGTACCTGGCACAAAGTAAATAAACACCACCACTTAGGTGTTTGGGTATTACATAAGAATCTGAATCAGATTCATTCAAATGGCTAAAAGGTGACTGAATAAAGAACACTGAATTAGTCTATCAAGACTGGGAATGTTGAAGTTTTCCTCCTGTGGTCTTGATTTGAAAATAAAACAGCTGCTTATGGCCATGTGAATAAATAGCATAGTTCAATTTGAGAAATATAAAATGGTTCCCAGAATAATAAAGTATAACACAAGGGGTTGGGATTGTGGCTCAGTTGTAGAGCACTTGCATAGCATGTATGAGGCACTGGATTTGATCCTCAGCACCACATAAAAATATCATAAAATGTCCATCTACACTAAAAATATTTTTTAAAAAGTGCAACATAAGGGGCTGCAATTGTGCCTTAGTGGTATAATGCTTGCCTAGCATGCATGAGGCACTGGGTTCAATTCTCAGCACTGCATATAAATAAATGAATAAAATAAAGGTCTGTCAACATCTAAAAAACTCTTTAAAATAAAAAAAAAAAAAGGTAACACAACATTTAGGGTTTCAGAATCTCATTTTGCCTGCATGTAGGACCAGCTGGGCTCTATTCATTGTCCATAGAATAGAAAAAGAGGAGAAAGGTTCATCCCTTGGATTGATTTCAGGTCTAAGAGACCCTAGATATACTGGCCCTGTTATTTTACTCCCTTTATTGAGGAACTATAAAGAGAAGAAAATGAAGTTTTGCCTTTCTTAATTTTTGGTAAACTTATATATATTCAATTTCCTTCCCTCAGGAAAAAAATTAATACTGAAGGTGATGTTCCTCCTTCTATGTCAGGAAGCTGTGCTGTGTGTGTAGACAGGGTCCTGTACTTGTTTGGAGGACACCATTCAAGAGGCAATACAAATAAGGTTAGTGTTCTAAGAATTATGGCTCAAGGCAAGTTTATTCTTTTAGACGACCTCACATTACTCAAGTCAGGTTATGTTTATATCTGTTCCAGTTTAAAAATATTATGTACTTTGATTAGGATACAAATTGGAAACAAGATGTAATCATGGAGGGAAGGGTAAAGATGAACAGAACACTCAGAAAGTCATAAGGATAAATTGACACTGAAAAAAACCCAGATAGTAACATTTCTATAATATGATACCCTAAGACACTGCTGCTCAGATTTTGCTCACATATTTTTTCTCCAAATTGTCATTTGTTCTCTTCAGACCATTAAGAGACAGATTTTCTAAGATTCAGAAGGACACATGATATAGGCAGACTCCTATCAATTCATTTATTTGGCAACTTAGTAAGCACCTTATATGCCGAGTTGGACACTGCAGAGAAAGATGAATGATAACAGTCTCTACCTCAAGGAGTTCAATCTGGAAGGGACACACATAAGTAAATGATTATATGCACACAGCCTGACACAAGTAATAATATAGTAAATATTATTAATTCTAAAAGAGTCCTTGACATTGGGTTTGGTAGAAAACCAAAGAGTTGGTCAACCAAGAGGTAATGTTTAAACTGAATAATAGGGGTAGTCAATGGTGCCAGAGACATAATCAAGTATATTTTACTCAAGGAAATGCCAGGGATTTTTTTGTAGGTGTGATATATGGTTTAGATGGTTTCAAACTGTGCTTCTAGAAACCAGGGATTTCTTTGAGGTATCCATGAGAAGAATGAATGTATAGTGTTAGGTGGGCTCCACACTGCCCCTCCCTCCCCCATTTAAACAAGTATTAACTCCACTTTTGTTTTTACATATTGGGCTTTCAAGATTTTTGTTTAAAGAAATGGTTCTATGCCTAAGAGGTTTGAGCTGTAGTTTGGCCATGTATTTTTCAGAGCCCTGGGGGAGAAAAATAACTTTGACACAATCTGAAAAAGCTTGGAAAGGAGAGCTGTGAGTTTTAGAGGGTGGTCACAGATGGCTAGGATTCAGTGTTCTAAGTTTGACCAAAAGGAAGCTTGAATGTTTGAGAAGTGACTGATATGTCAATATATCCAGTTACCTGGATGGGTAGACAACATTTAACCTTTTAAGTACTGATGGATCTTTAGCTCCCAGAATTAGGAGCTCCCAGGTAGGCACTGAAGATGTGTTTGTTAAATTGAACTTAAAGGTAAAATTGACAAACTTGATTTTGGTTTTTGGTAATACTGTCCTAATATGTATATATCAAATCAGTTTGACTCAAAGTGCCTGTCTACAGCAAAATAAGGAGCTTATGCCAGATGGTAAATAAACACATTGTTGATTCCTTCATCATAAAAGGGTGGCTATGAAAAATTAGTTGAAATAACTGTTATTAGTGATTTAGAAATTTACATTCTGTCACAAGTTCTTAGTAATCTTGACTCCGACCCACCTGGCAGTCAGTCTATAGTCACAATTTCAGTAACACTGAATTAGATGGCACCTTCATTATTATAAGCCACAGTAAAATTAACTGCTAAATAAAGTTGAATTTCTTCCACATAACGAAATCTAACTGAATTTGTTGCTTCTGACAGTTCTACATGCTGGATTCAAGGTCTACAGATAGAGTGTTACAGTGGGAAAGAATTGATTGCCAAGGAATTCCTCCATCATCAAAGGACAAACTTGGTGTCTGGGTATATAAAAACAAGTGAGTTAGAAAGTAATGTAGGGAGGCTGGGGATGTGGCTCAAGCGGTAGCGCACTCTCCTGACATGCGTGCGGCCCGGGTTCAATCCTCAGCACCACATACAAACAAAGATGTTGTGTCTGCCAATAACTAAAAAATAAATATTAAAATTCTCTCTTTAAAAAAAAAAAGAAAGTAATGTAGGTTTGGATTTTTATGCAGAAAGTAATTTACCATTCAAATATCCTACGCAATAAACAGTATAGAATATAACTCATAGGACCAATATGAATATTAAATATATTAACACATAAAAGCACTTAACACAGTACTTAAGATATAATTGTTAGCTATTATTATTTGAATAAGTATATTCATATATATAAGTGTAACTTTTCAACTTGTACTATATGTCAAATTAAGAAAAAAAATCACTTAGGAGCCTGAGGAAGAGGACTGAAAGTTCGAGGCCAGCCTGGGCAACTTAGTGAGACTCTGTCTCAAAATTTTAAAAATAAGATAAAAAAAGGGCTGGGTATGCAGCTCAATGATAAAGCACTTGCATAGCATGCACAAGGCCTTGGGTTCAATCCATAATATTGCAAAAAAATAGTGAGAAAAATTCCTTGGGTCCTATCCTGTGGATGTTTGAATTTTTAGTGTCTTTTTTTTTTTTTTAATCAAACAGGCTAATATTTTTTGGAGGGTATGGCTATTTACCTGAAGATAAAGTATTGGGAACTTTTGAATTTGATGAAACATCTTTTTGGGTAAGTATATTTCATGTCTGCATATGGCCTACTTAGTATGCTGACATAATACATTTTATATACACTATTAGTTTTGTTCACTTATTAATAAATTGAACGTGGCTGTGTAATTTTATAAACATTATCTGTAAACTAACTCAAAGAGGGTCTTTTTTTTTCTGTAGAATTCAAGTCATCCAAGAGGATGGAATGATCATGTACATATTTTAGACACTGAAACATTTACCTGGAGCCAGCCTCTAACTACTGTGAGTTAATAAGCAATAATATACCATTAAAGCAAGGCTATTTAGAGGAGAGGGGAATATGCCAGAGTTGGGAGATGATGTGAAACTACTGTTTCTTGTTTTCTGGAGAGACAATCCATAGTTTTCATTATTTTCCAAGGAACTTAGAACTCAGAGTAGTTTAATGAATGTATAAAGAGACTAACCCAACATTTATTACCTAATAGATGGTATATAATAGCAGCTGATACTGGTAATATATAATCTAGTTCTAATGGGAACTTACATTAGATTTCCTTTCCCTCTGATACATATTAAATAATGCATCAGTCTTCAGTATTGCTGTTGTCTAGAAGTCTATGCTTCAGCTTTTAAAAACTCAAGTATTCTGCATATTCTTATTCTACATCAAGACTGGATTTTCCCCATTTCTAAATAGTTCACTTATTTATTAAATTGCTTTTATTACTTTTTAATAGGGTAAAGCACCTTCACCTCGTGCTGCCCATGCCTGTGCAACTGTTGGAAACAAAGGTTTTGTTTTTGGAGGCAGATATCGAGTGAGTATATAAACAGTTTCAATAGCTTACTTTTGAATTCTTCAAAATGTAACTACTTAATTATCCTTTTTTAGGATGCTAGAATGAATGATCTTCACTATCTTAATCTGGATACATGGGAGTGGAATGAATTGCAAGTATCACTTTAGATAATTATTCAGAAAAGTTTTTTTTTAAAAAAACCCTTTCTCCCTATACCTTATTATTAGTATGTAATAAACTTGCTTTAATCTTCTTTAACTATGAATTTAATAAACATGATTACCAGGGTTCTTAAGGATGGAATCTTATTTCCAGTTTCAAAAACTATGTGCCTGGCATAGCAAGCATGGGCTTTAATGTTTGCCTTATTTGGGGGGGGGGTGGCCAGTATAAAGCATGTAGTTAATACCAAGACCCTTAAGTCTCCTTTCCTAATAATCCCATCTACATTTTAAAAGAAAACTTAAATATTTCTCTGCATTAAATATAGTAGCTACTTTGAAACGGATGTTGTAACTTATTTTCAGAATTCCACAAGGTGTATGCCCTGTCGGCCGATCCTGGCACTCACTAACACCAGTTTCTTCAGATCATCTTTTTCTCTTTGGAGGATTTACCACTGAAAAACAGCCACTAAGTGAGTCTTTAAAAAACTTAAATATTTATATATCACTTACATATGATTTGCTGAAAATCATTTTATTTTAGATGTATCAAGAGAGTATAGGGTTGGCTTGGAGATTTATTAATTTTGATCCCATACATACTGAAATTATGCTACATTGTACATATTATGTCATAAATCCATTCCTCCAGTAGAGAAATAACCTGCAGTATGTAAAAGCCTTGAAAGGCTGTAACATGCAAAGGTGGTTAACTGCAGAGAAAAAAAGGAGGGGAAAAAAGGAAAAACTTCATTACTTTTTTTGCACAAGTTGTGCCCTTTAAACATCAATGTCATAATGAAAGATAAACATACATCACAGCTTTTTAAATTTTGCTTCAATCAGGTGATGCCTGGACTTACTGCATCAGTAAAAATGAATGGATACAGTTTAATCATCCCTATACTGAAAAACCAAGGTATGAACTATTTAAAAGATAATTCTTATACTGAATTAGGCCTAGAAATGTGCAAGACTAATAAAACTGAGGATATTTTAGCTATATTTTACCCATATTCTTATTTTTAAAAATCTTGGTATCTATTAGGGTTTAACATCATACTTCTCAAAGAGAACCAATATTTTTCTTTTGTGATACTGGAGATTGGACCCAGGGGCCATGCACATGCTAGGCAAGTACTCTACCATGGAGTTATATTCCCAGCCAAGGAAAACCAATATTAATTTGAGTATCAAATGCCTTTCTGTTATTATCTGTGTAGGAAGAATAGGGCTGCCCTTTCCTTCTGCTATCAAAAAATTATTGACACAGTTAAAACTTAAAAGCAAGTTGTTTACCTGAGTTGAACGGCACCTAAGTTTGTAATTAAAACAAAAACAAAAGGAATTTGTAAGGGGAGAATTTAAAAATCTTAATGTATGTGAAGGTAAAACAACTGCTGATTAGATTTACAATAGCAATGTACAACAGGATAAATCAAATTATCATTGTCAAATGAATTGTTAAGGACAATGATTTACTCAGCAATGGAGTTCAAAGCACATTTAGATATATCACCTGCATTTTTCCCCTAATCCTCTAATGCAAGCACAGGCATGCCACTAAGATTTCATTTGGTTCAAATGACTTTTCTATAGAATTATCAGGCTTTAAGACTTTCAGCTTATTGGGGCAGAACTTCAGCACCCCTCAGATGTTCTGTGTAAGGCTAACTTATTGCTATCAAAGACCTACAAAACATATCATTGAATTCAAACTCTTCACTCCATAAATGAAACAGAGACAAATAATATCCATATAAAATCAACACTGATTTTTCTAGTTCTACTACTTTTCCGTAAGGTTTTATTTCTCATGGTCATGTTTAGGCACAAAAACTATCTTAAGATCTCTAATCTTTATTTCACTAGTTATGAGTGTGAATGATCAATTTGGTCTTCTGGGTGACTTCCAAGTTTTTTTTTAAAATTCAGGCTATGGCATACAGCTTGTGCTAGTGATGAAGGAGAAGTGATTGTTTTTGGTGGGTGTGCCAACAATCTGCTGGTTCATCACAGAGCTGTAAGTATACCACTTCATATTACTACTGAAACTTATCTGTGATGCACTTGCCTTTTTGTTTTTAATGTGTTCACCTCTATTTTTCAGGCACACAGTAATGAAATACTTATATTTTCAGTTCAACCAAAATCTCTTGTACGGTAAGTAAATTTTTCCTTGGCACTTGACACTTTAGTGTTCTTAAAAAAAACACACAGGTTTACGGATTATTTAAGAGCAATGAATCTTCATTGATGTAATCAGTTCCTAAAGAAAGAGGTTTATTACTTATTTATTTAACTTTAAATTCAAGTTAATGTACTTTAAACAGCAAAGTGAAATTATTTTTCTTTTGTCCACTTTTCAGGCTAAGCTTAGAAGCAGTCATTTGCTTTAAAGAAATGTTAGCCAACTCGTGGAACTGCCTTCCAAAACACTTACTTCACAGTGTTAATCAGAGGTTTGGTAGTAACAACACTTCTGGATCTTAAGGCGTCATAGATAATGCCTCAGATCTCCTTGCATGGACAACAATCCTGTAATCATCACAGAGTGGCATCATTTGTATAATTATATGCATTGTTGTAGTTTGCAGCTTTTTGATTTTAATGTGCATGTGAATGGCCTAGAGAACCTATTTTTGTGTCAAAGTTTACAATAAATGTATTTAACACCAGTAACTTTCCTCTATTAAAGCAAAAAAAAAGTAACACTTAGGCTTTTTACCCCAAAGAATGGTTATTACATTTCCTTTTGTTAACTTCAGGATATATATCTATAGAAACATACTAAATAATCTTACCATTATCAAAATGGTAGTGTTTTTTTTAAGAAAACATTGGAATTTTAGTTTTTCTTTAAATAGCAAGAACAGTCCATAATTTTATAGACTAGCATCATAAATACAATAAAATGGTTTTTTTAAACATTAATTTCAAATGGAAAACTATTCTCAATAGAGACTAAAAATTGTTAGAGGGACCAACAGCTATTCAATACTTGACCTTAACACTTTGGTGCAGGGGCTGGGGCAAGAAAGTGGTTGAAGATAGACAGATGTTGTCCAATCAATTAAAAAAGTATATTTTATAGCTCATAAATGAATGGAAATAATGTATGACTTTACTCTCCATTCTGATAGGAGACAGAAGAAGAAAGCTGGGTCAGGAATCTTTAGTGGTAAGCCTAAAGTGCACTTCTGATATTATAGGTTGATATTCTATTACATGCTATTGATAACTACTAGACATGGAAAAGAAAATGGTACAGAACTGAATGAGGTTACAAGGAAGAAATTAAGATGAAAAATGAAGATGTATAAATGCATTGAAATGATCAATACCAGTTTCTTTTAGGTGTTATTTCTCAAGCTCTGAGTCATAAGAATTAGTATTTTTTACATCTGCTCTACTATATTTTTTGACAAGGTTTTCAAGACACAATACTAAATGTTTAATCGCCCCCATTCCCACAACAAAAACCCCTTATGATTGGCCTGTTTCTCTATATATACACACAAATACATATGTATATATATATACAGGTGTATATATATATATATGTTAGATGTTATATACAGTAGATTACCAAGTCAGTAGTTTAAGCAACTGAGCCACACTTCACTGTTCAATTTCTTTACATCATGAAATGAATACTTAATATTAACCTCCCAAACTTCAAGATAATGTTGGAGAATAACTACAGATGAATATTATTAGCATTTAACTTTTCACAGATATTTTAGGAAATCCTATCAGACAGTGTTTCCTCTATATAAAACTGGAAAAAACCAAGAATTAAGTCGTTTTGGCGAATACAGCAAGGCAATGTTTAGTTCATTTTTAAATGTGGAAGTCCTGTTACATGGTGTTTTCATCTCTGAACTTCCAAAAGGCTATAAAATTGAGTCTTCTCAAATATTTTAGGATTTCATTTCAGCTATTTCCTTTTCACATTCAGAAGATTGGGTGCAGATACTTTCACTTTGCCAGGAATGTTTCTTGATAAATCTGTGTCCTAAAAAAAGAAAATTGCTGAATATTTTCACATTCTATATGGCAAATCATGTTTCTTTTAAACAACTATGAATCCTCTGCTGTGAAAAGAAAGGCATATCCAAAATTTTTAATGGAAATGATTTTACTGCTTCAAGTTTCAAGTTAAGACAGCATTTTCTATAAAGCAATAGAAAATAACTGAGAAAATATTTAACTATACCACCAATCTCCAGAGTTTTGAAGGAAAACTTTACCTTCACACTGCGGAATAAGTCTTTTTCTCTTGCTGTTGCTTCTTTGGAATGCATAAAACTATTCAAGGCTGTTTTGGCAGCTGTAAACAGAAAACAAGAATCTGGCTCTGTTCAGTCACTGAACTGCTTAAAATCATAATTTTAAAAAATTACCTTTTCCCTTTTTCTGAACTCCAGGAGTAAGTTTCACTTTATACCTTTAAAAAGAAATTGCATGAGTTACTAAATAGAGATTATAAAACAGCTCATAAAAGTCACTGTGTCAACTATTTTGAGTAAACTAATGGTAACTTACTTATAGTTTGTCATGGTGGTATAAGGGGCACATATTGGAATGGCAAATAGTATGATATCTTCAGGATGTGGCTGGCCTGTCAAAGAATCAAACAGATTTTCCTAAAAGGGGAAAATAAAAACAATTATAAAAGTAATTTACAACAGCCTTAAAAAAAGAAAACTAGGGGCTGGGATATAGCCCAGGGGTAGAGAACACTTGCTTAGTACTTGTGAGACCCTGGGTTCCATCCCTAGCACCACAAAAACAAAGAATGAGGAAAATTCTAAGTCAATTGAAATTTCAACATATATTTAACTTTTTCTGATATAGCCTAAATAATGACAGCAATACCTAAAAATTACTTGAGATGGAGAACAATCCTGTGGATTATGATGATACACGGTAATGACCACAGTTAGATTTTTTTTTTTCCCTTCTCTGGTACTGGGGATGGAATTCAGGGATGCCTGACCACTGAGCAACACCCCGCTGTCCCTTTGAAGCAGGGTCTTGCTAATTTGTGCAGTCTAGCCTCTAAATCTATTTGTGGCCAGATGTGGTGGCACACACCTGTAATCACAGCTGCTTTGGGAGGTCCTGCTTCAGACTCTCAAGCAGCTGTGATTGCAGGTGTGTGCCATCACATCTGGCCACAAATAGATTTAAATCTGTTGCAGGGAAATGGGACTTCAGCTAGATCAGAGAGAGATAGAGGAGAGAGAAATTTTATTTATTTATTTATTTTTAGAGACAGAGAGAGAGAGAGAGAGAGAGAGAGAGAGAGAGAGAGAGAGAGGAGAATTTTTTAAATATTTATTTTTCAGTTTTCAGCAGACCCAACATCTTTGTTTGTATGTGGTGCTAAGGATCGAACCCGGGTCGCACGCATGCCAGGCAAGCGCACTACCACTTGAGCCACATCCCCAGCCCAAGAGAGAAATTTTAATATTTATTTTTTAGTTTTTCGGCGGACACAACATCTTTGTTTGTATATGGTGTTGAGGATCAAACCTGGGCCGCATGCATGCTAGGCAAGCGTACTACCGCTTAAGCTACATCCCCAGCCCAGAGACTAGTGATTCTTGACCAATAATTTCTGTGCCCCAGAGGACACAGTTTTGATTTTTACAACGAGGGGAGGGAAAAAAGAAGGGGAAGTGCTTACTGGCATGTGATACCTCAGAAGCCAGGGATGTTTTATCCATTCCAAACTGTAAACAGTACCAAAGTTGAGAAACCCAGGCTAGAATAGCCTTTTCACCTGTTCTTCAGGAGAAATCCCAGGGCTTCTTAGAATTCTCATTTGGTGGGTAGGCTGCCTATAAGACTGACCTTATGTATTAGAGTCAGTAATTAGATTTAGGACAAAATGGTGACCTGAGTGTTGGCTTTGTGTCATATGCCTTTCTAAATGTATCACATATATTCTCAAAACAAGTCTCCTAGTAGGTACAGTTACTAAACATAACAATAAGGCACAAAGAATGAGGAAGCTGAGGCACAAAGTCTACTTCCAAGTTTACATAGTTATATCCAGCAGGCTTGGAATTCAAATCCTGAAAGTTTGACTCAAGATCATGTAGTCTTAAGTTTTAATTAGGTAGAAGTTTTGTATCAAATATTCTGGGATAGGACTATAAGAAAACTGTTGTAATATTAATCTTAATATAAAAATCATACCTCAGTTCCCTGTTGATCCAGATCCTGCTCTTCCTGTTCAAATATACGAAAATTAAAAGTCAGCAATGAAATTTGAAACCATTAAACCATGCGGAGAAAAAAATAGTGAAATAATAAGACTGTCATATCCAACCCACAGGGTAGGGGCACCAAGGATGTATTATTTAGTGTACCAATACTCTGAAGTGGATTGGTGTGTGTGCTTATATTTCAAAAAGCAATACCATTCAAAGAGAAAAAGGACAGTTCCGTGAAGTGGAAAGAAAAAAATCCTTCACATACAGTACATCTTATAGCTATGAAAATTGTAGGAACAATTTAAAATGACAATTAAGCTTGATATGTTTGTCAAGGGAAAAGAAAATGGAAAATTCTGGTGAAAAGAACTTTTATTTTTAAATTTCTGTTTAATAGTTTTAGACAATTTTTCAAATACTAAGATATATACATAATTTTATTACTTTGATATGAAAAATCTATTTGGAAATAACTTGAGTCTGTCCAGGTTGCTAGAATGAAATACCTTAAACTGAAAAACTTAATAGAATACTTTTCACAGTTTTAGGAAATCCCAGATCAGGATACCAACAGATTCAGTGTCTGGTAAGGGCATGCCTCAAAAAAGGCACATTGCTGCTGGCTCACATGGCAGAAGGGGCGTTCCCTTCAACCTTTTTTTTTAAGGTACTAATCCCATTCCTCTAGTCCTCACCTCTTAGTACTATTAAATTGGGTACTTCGTTTACAACATAGGAATTTGGGGGGGTTACCGACATTCAGACCATAGCACCTACCCATGAAAGAACATTAATAATTATTATCTTATGAATATATGTGCATTTAGGATTTACAGAATAAACTGCAGAATATGGTAAAAAAAATGAGACCGCCCAAATGAGTTTTTAGAATTACTAAACAACATTGTTTAGGAGAGGAAAAAAAAAGAAAATATTGTAATATAAAATCCCTATATCACCTATACTAAGCACACAATTTTTAAAATATTTTTTAGTTGTTGGTGTACCTTTATTATTTATTTATTTATATGTGCTGCTGAGGATCAAACCCAGTGCCTCACACATGCTAGGCAAGTGCTCTGCTACTGAGTCACAACTCCAGCCCCCTAAACACAAATTATACTCAAGCTTTAAATAAAAACAATCCTGATCAGGAAAGTAAAAAATTTTGATTCATCCTGTATTTTACACAAATTTATAAAAATAAATGCTCAGAATGTCAAGATGTATATATTCATGCAAGATGATATATAAGTTTGGATTTACTGTATCCAGTTGATAAAACAATTGACAACTATCTTATCGGGAAAATGTTTTTTTCTGGGAGGAATTGGGTGATGATAGGGATGGAACATCAGACCTTGTACATGCCAGACAAGCATTTTACCACTGAGCTACACCTCCAACCCTGGAAAAGTTTACTTCTCAGAGCTTTTGCACCTTAGGATTTGGCCCTTGAATTATGTAACCACTTTCAACATATATTAAGATAATATATAGTATACAAAAAAATGCTTTAAAAATTTATTTTTCATTCATCTTTAAGAGAAGCCTAATTCTTTGTCTTACTTTAATTAAGTTCCTATCAGAATCAAATCCTCTTCATAAAACTGATTATTCTCTAATGGTTTATGACAAATTTTTATTAGCAGTGAACACTTACCATTTTTGTGCTTAGACACTGTAATTTTAGGCTTTCAGGTTGCATTTCTAAGATGCCTTTTCATTAGTAAGACGGCTGCCACTTGTCTTGGTTGGTCACCCTAAGTAAAAAGCAAAAGCCCACATGTGTGGAAGCCTTACCTTGTCATCATGTGAGTCATCTACAGCTAAGTCTTGTAACTCATGAGTTAAAACCTCAAGGGCTGGAGTTTCTTTCTTAATGCTCTCTGAAATCCTGGGTCCACCTCTAGGTTTCTGGGGCTGTTTCTTCACAGGTTCATCTTTTGTTTTTCCTTTCTTTGCCTTTTTCCCTTTTTCTTCTTTGTTTGAACCTGCAGACTTCAATTCATAGAGGAAAATTCAGTTAATGTTATCAATATTATTGTCAAGATCTTCCCAAAGACAGCAGGATGTGGTGGCACACGCCTGTAATTCCAGTGATTTGGGAGCCTGAGGAAGGAGGGTCACAAGTTTAAGGCCAGCCTGGGCAACTTAGCAAAAGCCTGTCTCAAAATAAAAATTTTCAAAGGGTTGGTGATGTAGCTTAGTGGTAGAATGCCCCTGAGTTCAAACCCCAGTACAACAAAAGGGAAAAAAAAAAAGATTTTTAATAAAGATGTACTGAATGTTTATCACAAGTTAAGCATGGGCTGGGTGTCCACTGAAAAGCAAAAGGAATGTTCTTAATGTTACTTACCCCCAGCAATTTCATAATAAGTTCACGATCTTCTTCATCCTGGTCTTTGTATTTTTCCTTCATTTTTTTCATTTTACTCTACAAAAATTCAACAGTAAAATGGTCAACAAATATTTGTAGGGAAAAGGTGACTCTTTAATCTCTGTCAAAATGCTTATTGAGCTGAGGATGTAGCTAAGTGGTAGGGTACCTGCCTAGCATGTGAGGCTCTAGTACCACCAAACACACACACAACAAAGAACTTATTGAACAAAGCACCATTATAAACAATATGACAGATACAAAGAAGGATAAAGCCATAGTCATACTCAAAGAATTTGCCATATGGTAAAGAGAAGATACATATAGAAATAAGAATAAATTAACATTTAAAACATTGTAGGAAGGTGGGCTGGGGATATAGCTCAGTTCATGGAGTGCTTCCCTCATCTGCACAAAGTCCAGGGTTCAATCCCCAGCACTGCCAAAACACTAAAATTAAATTTAAAAATGTAGAAAAAGTATAAACAATTTTTTCTGAGATAATTTTTAAAAAGGAGGCATTTTCAGTCTCAGCAAAAACTGTGGGGAGTAAATGAAGCAAAATCTGAAAGTTTTTTTTTTTTTAAAAAAAGAAGTAAATTTTATAGCATCTGGGAATAAGGGAAAACCAAGAATAAAAAAGAAAAGACCAAGGAGTAGTAACTGCAGTCATTACATTTAGTTAGAATCATGGTACACATAAAGGAAAAACAGGAAATCAGCTAATGCAGGCCTAGGCATTTACCAGTGACTAACTTTTTTAGGCAATGGGGACTGAACCCAGGGCTTTGAGCATGGTAAGCACATGCTCTACCACTGAGCTACAAAACCCCAAAGCCCTGAGTTAATTTTTCAAAAGATACAGTAACATATTAGCACATAATCTTCTTAATACTGCTACAGCATTTTAAAAAGTATATTCTATATAGATTATTTTTTTATTCATCATTTCCATTTAATAAAATACATAAAAATTCTACCCAAAATCACATTGATAATTGAAAAAGAAACTAAGTTCTCTCAATAAAGATCAGCTCTGGGGCTGCAGGTAACTCAGTGGTTGAGCACTTGCCCCATCATGCATGAGACCTTGGATCGAATCCCTAGTACTACTCCTACATAAACTGAGAGCTTCTGAGGAGATGTTGGAGTTCTCTATGTTGCCTAAAGACTGTCTTCCTAGCTAGTCATCAAAGGAAGTCATACAGGACTCTCTTTTTTTTTTGCCTACATCTTCTATTCATTTAAACTTTAAAAAAACTCACAATTTCACAACTTCATTTGCGAACCATACTGTACCAAACAGATCACTACAAAGTTTATTACCTTTTGTCCTCGTTTCATTGGTTGTGCAACTGCAACATTTCTGTTTGTGTTCTGTTGAGTTTCCATGTGTACAGAACTTTCTTTGTCCTTTCCCTCTATTGCTTCTAAATCCCCTGAGTCACTTAGAAGTTTTTTCTTCTTCATTTCCCTAAAACAAATGAAGTGAAAAAAAAAAGCAAATTCTTAGAATTTCCAAATTCTTAGTGCCCTAAAAAAAATTCAGAGAACATGCACAATATATAAAAGATCATGATTTCTATTTACCCTGATAATCACTATAGAATAGTATACATACAAAAAGGCTCAAAGAATCACATGGAAAAGAGCTGAAAAATTTTCAGCTGTAATAGATTAATCATTCTTTGTGTTATCCAGGCTCAACATTCTGTCACCCTTGACTTATCCTCCATCTACCCACACTCACTCAATTGAAAACCTTGGGGTTGCAGTTGTGACTCAGTGGTAGAACACTTGCCTAGCAGCTGTGTGAGGCACTGGGTTTGATCCTCAGCACCACATAAAAATAAATAAATAAAATAAAAGTATTGTAACTAAATATATATATTTAAATGGGACAGAGGGATTGAGAGAAGGGAAAATATGGCTTATTATATTTACTTCTATACCAATTTTCCAAATGAATTTTGAAGTTGTTCTTAGATGAGAAATTAAGGAGTCCTCTGTCCAGATTTCATAGGTATGTGCCTTAAGAACTTACTGATTTCATAATACTTATGTCCAAAAACATCCTACACTCCAAATTTAGGGATTAAAATACAATATCCCATATGTCCTCTGACATAAAGATACAGGGTTGGTGAGGCTGGGATTGTGGCTCAGTGGTAGAGTACTTGTCAATCATGTGTGAGGCACTGGGTTCAATTCTCAGCATCACATATAAGTAAATAAATGAAATAAATGTCCATTGACCAAAAAAAGAAAAAGAAAAAAGAAAGAAAGAAAAGAAAACCTTGCTGGCCAGGTACTGGGATTTGTAGTCTTTGTATCAAAAATGGCCTTGGCAGATCTTAAGCATTTTCAATAGAACATCTGTTGATTAGTTATTGAATAAATAAACGGATACAAAAAATAAATAGGAAGAAGCAAACATTCCATTGCTATATTTTTCTTCATATTCCCAGTTTAGGACCTTACCAACTGCCAAACTTTCTTTAATGAATTCCCAGTAATCTACCTAAACTTCTATATTAATATTCTTTAATTGTTTACCTATGTTACATTCTCATTCAAAATCCTAAAAAGGTTATTTTCATAACTTTCAGGATAAAGTGCCAAATACTTAGCTTATCATTCCAAGTTCTCCACTTTTGGTCCAAATTCACCTCTTCAGTCTTCCCATAATCTGTTCACTAATGTGAACTTTGTCTTCCTTTTGCCTTAGTCTATCATTTTCCCAAAGCAACATATATATTACTTCCAAATCTCTCTCCCCTTCATTAATGCTAATTTTCCTTGGAGTCTTTTATCTTCCTTCATATACTTAATGGCTACTATATCTTCAAGGTATATTTCTGATGGCATTTCCCAAAATATCTAAACTTAAAAGCAATCTCTCACTCCTACTGTATCACTTTGACAATACGATGTATTGATAAGTATTTCCTGAAAACATGACTCAAAAATTTCTTGAAGGCATGAATTTGATATGTAAACCTCTTTGTATACTCAGTATAAGTAAAGCACCATGTATTGAGATGTACTGAGGGTTCTCTGTAATTGTTTTTAATGACTGTCTTTCTAAACCAAAAGGACTTTATTATCTATTTCATTCCTCCTAGAGTACTTTATGTTTTTCCCATCCTGTAGGAGTTGTTCCCTTCCTCTGCCTTTCTATGTGCCTCCAGAGACCTGCTATTAAAAAAAAAAAAAAAAAAAAAAAGACTTAAATTTTTTCCTAATTTCAAGTATTCTTATTTATTCCTGTCAGTATTATCCTAGAACTAACGTGTCTACTTAATACACAATAATCATCATTATACATGTTTATATAATAAAAGGTCCTTTAGTTTTTCTTTCTCAGTACTGGAGATTGAACCCAGGGTTAGCACATGCTAAGCAAGTGCTCTACCACTGAGTTACATACTGAGCCCAAAAGGCCAGTCTTATTACTTGATAATAAATTAGGGACCTAAACCTGAAAAACATTAAAAGAGTTGAATATCTAAAAATAAAGTTTTGTGCTTGTCTTGGTAATTTTAATATAGTAAGTCTTTAGAATAAATAGTCAAGTATTCTGTGATAGCTGAGCTATCGTTTAAAAAAAATACAAAAAGTTATGCAGAGTGAGGGCACCCCTACAATCTCCACTACTAAGGAGACTAAGGAAACAGGATCACAAAATTTAGGGCAGCCTGGGCAACTTAGCAAGACCCTGTCTCAAAATGAAAAAAAATTTTAAAAAGGCTATAGCTATAGGTCACATCACTTGCCTGGTGTGTGCAAAGCCCTTGTTTGAACTCTTGCACTTACTCACTAAATAAATAATGCCTTTCAGTTAAATAATACAAATATATTTACCTTCTTTCCTTGGCTGATAAATGTCTCCGGCCCTGTAATTTACTGTCATTCTATTAAAATGAGAACAAAAAGAAAGAAATAAAATTCCTCAACAATATCATTGAATTTTTCAAAAAGTAAAATTAAAAAGAAAATATTGAGAAAAATGTAATTTTTTTTTTATTAAACCTTAAAATAGCTTACTGAATTAGAAGATTCTTCTTTTGAAGCCAATTTCTGAAGAGACCTATAAAAACAAGAAGAGTATAAAGCCTGAAAACATTCTTATATCATACTCTAAATGATTTTTATTTTTGTATTTTATTTTCTAGAGTACTATAACTATACATAAGTTGAATTCATTGTGCTCTTAATTACTTATAATCCTACAAGTACAATCAAATCATTCATATCTCCACATTTTTTCACCAAGAAGGAAACAAGCTTACACATAAGTAACTTGCCCAAAGGCACATCCTAAGACTCAATTTTGATTGTCTGACTCCCAAGCCATTATTTATAATCCCAATAAAAACACTTTTTTAAAACTATATATTGTTACTTGGTGATCATTAAGACATTAATAACTAGAACCCCTCTTTTTTAGATGGATTACTAGCCTTTAGAATCATTTGTTTCTATTCTGAACTACTTTGGTCATTTTTAATATCAATGTATTTTTCTACCCTTGTCCTGGGAATTTCTTTAGAGAAATTAAATGTGGAAAAAAAAAAAAAGAACAATAGCACTGAATAACAGAAAAATGAAGGGTGAAAGTATTGAAGTCAATCTTGGCATTGTCTTTGTAAGGATTAACTTGTCATGATTCACAACTTACAAAATAAAACTTAAAATGTTCTCTTTTTAATTACCTTTGGGACTGAAGGTGGGACAAGTCAATAGTAGTATCAGGATACTCTAATGTCTCTTCTCTTTCATCCTTCATATCACTGATAGGCTCCTGATCTTTTATAAGCACTTCAGATTCTCTTTCATCTTCAGAGCTTTCTTCCTGAATTAGTTCCTCATTTAGTTCATCACCACCACTCTGAACAGGAAGATTCTCTTGGTCAACCTGAGTCACAAGTTCTACTTCTACAGGAGGAGGTTCATGTAATTCCTCTTTATCTTCTTCACTGCTAGTGTCACCCCCATCTATAAAATAACCGTAAAGAAACTGACAAGTCTATGTGATTTTCTTGAAAACTTCATATGAACAATTCTACTCCCTGTTGTCTCAAAAGATCACCCGAAAATCACCAGAATGATCACTGATCATTCTCATAGGGGACCACTCTTAGACAAAAGGATAATCTGTACAATCAACAGGTTGAACTAAGTAGATTTTATGGACATTGCTACCATTTCTACATGAAAACTGTAACCTGCCTTTTTGGGTATTTCCCAGAAGTAAGACAATAAAATCAGTTGTATAAATTCTGTAGCTTTTATTATTTGCAAATGAAAACTGAATTAATAATGCATGTTATATAACTGGCACATAGCAGGTGTGCTGTCTAATAGTAGGGTCCATCTGCCTCACCTGTAAAATGAAATGCCACCACCCATCTGTCATAGATGGTCATGAAAATTACATAAAAATTAAATAAATAAGCGGAGAATTGTGGCACATGCTTGTAATCCCAGCAGTTTAGGAGGCTGAGGCAGGAGAATGAAGAGTCCAAAGCCAGCCTCAGCAACTTAGTGAGGTCCTGGGTAACTTAATAATTATGATTTTTTAAAAAAGGAAAAAAAAAAAAAGGCAACTCAGCGAGACCCTACCTCTAAATAAAATACAAAAAAAGGCTGGGGATGTGGCTCAATGGTTAAGCACCCCAGGGTTCAATCCCAGGTCCCCCCTCCCCCAAGATTAAATAAATATAAAGCACTTTATTCAGTGCCAGAGAAATAGTAACCATCAATCAGTAGAAGTTACAAATGAAACAATACAATATTACTCCTATAAATGAACAACTCTAGGAAAAAGTATAACTGCAAAAGTAGTTTAGAGAACAACTTTCCCTAGCTCTCTTAAGATAAATGTATTCTAGCAACTATAGTTGCTTTCTACTTGAAACATATTATAAAATCAACTCAAATTCTCATGAGAAATTGTACTTGTTATAAATTCATCTCTATTATTTCTTGTCTTTTTTCTGCAGTACTAAAGATTGAACCCGGGGGTGCTCTACCACCAAGCTACATTCTTGGCCTTTGTAATTTTTTATTTTGAGACAGCATCTTGCTAAGTTGCCAAGGCTGGCCTTAAATTTGTGATCCTCCTGCCTCAGCCTCTCCAGTACTTAGGATTATAGACATGTTGCCACCATGCCAAGATACTTTGTTATCATTTCTTTCTCTCTTTTTAAAATATTTTTTAGTTATACATGGACACAATATCTTTATTTTGTTTATTTATTTTATGTGGTGCTGAGGATCAAACCCAGTGCCTCACATGTGTAAGGGAAGCACTCTGCCACTGAACCACAACCCCAGCCCAACTTTACTATCATTTCTAATTCCTAAACCCCCAATATAAATGATAATTCATAAATACCTGAGTCCTTTTTTGTCAAACAAATTTATACATTACCCATTAAACATTGAAGTTTTATTATATATATATACACTAAATTATGTAAGTTATGGATACAATTAAATACTTTTCAACACACTAAAATAATAACTATATTTAACATATCCAAAACCAAACTGATAGATGGTATTTTTATGAATATTCTTTGAAATTTTAATTATCCCAAAATATCATTTACTTAAGGATTTAGAAGTAAAACTAGAAAATAAAAAATATCACAAGCAAATTTACTAAAATGTGTGAACTACCTAGTTGTTCCATTTCTTCTGAGATGAGTTCACTTGTGCAACTTGCCAGTGTCTCCATGTCTTCATCTTGCACTCGGACTTTACGTTCACCCCGATGTCTCCAAACACATGACTCATCTACCTACAGAAACAGTTCTTTTTCATTTATAGAATTTTAGGTAAGAATAATGAGGGAGAAAAAAAAGGAAGAAATTGAAGAGTACCTTAAAGAGGAAGCTAAACCCCATCATTAGATATGAGGGAGGAAGGAAATTCTTTTTTCCTACAAAAGATAATATACATTGATGTTTTAAAAAAATTAGTTTTCTCCTTTTTTTTGTCTGCAAAATACATGACACCAGTGATCATACCCATTTTGTCTCTTACTCTGACATGGGGAACATTTCCCATTTATAGAATCTAGCATTAGGTATAGTAACAATAATTAAGAAAAAATATGCATGCTTATTCTTATGTTTTGGGTCAGACCCTGAATAATCTATAAAAAAGATGACAAGGAAAAAATTTGCTTATTTCATAAAAGACTTCATATATGACACAAAGTTATGAATTTCTGTTCTGAGAATATTCACAGATGATACTCAAACCTGACTCCATAATCCACTGGGAAGTTAGGGACATTTTTCATGTCAAGCCATTACCTCTTATCATAAAACTTCCAGTTGTCAAATATTCTCCAGTTGGTGCTGTTTTAGACACCTAACAAACACAATAATGTTACATTCTTAAGAAATATTGTTTTTTTTTTCTATTCAAGAAGTGAAAGTTGTCATATTCAAATAAGTAACACTATAAAATTCATAATAACAAAAATTCTCAACACTAAAGATATCGACTTCCCTTCAACGATAGATATACATCTATGGCAACAACAAAGAAAGAAGGATCTATTATATCAATGTTTCCAAATGCTCTGGAAAAGATCCACTCCTTTCTTCTAGCATGAGATATAATGAGAAAAGGATAGTTTAATAAGTTTATTACAAAATATTAAAATAAAGCTATATTTATTAAGTAAAATCCTTTCCTGAGGCTGGACATGGTACCATACACATATAATCCTAGCTACACAGGAAGCTGAGGCAGGAGGATCTCCAAGTTTAAGATCAGCCTGGGCAACTTAATAAGACCTTGTCTCAAAATAAAAAGTAGAAAGGGCTGGTGTGTAGCTCAGTGGTAGAGGGATCATGGGTTCAATTCTTAGCAGGAAAACAAACAAACAAAAGCTTAAACATATCTCCTTATAAAAGAATTCAAACTACTTTTATAACAGTATTATGGCAGAAGATATAATCCCTCAAGTATTATTAATTTCCTAAAAACATAATATTACAACATAGCAGAATAATAAATATAAATAGATAATATAATTAAACTAATTCTATAGGAAGATAATACAAATAAATTCTATCCTATCATACAACTTTAGGACCTTGTAAAAGTATATCATTATCAATCATAATTCTTGAAAATGAAATCAATAGTAATGCAAAGTTTATCATCAAATAACAGCATTAACAATAAAAAAGGTCAATTACTAAAACCAAGTGAACTTAAAAAAACAAAAAACAAACAACAACAACAACAAAAAACCCACAACAGGATATATCTGCTTTTTACAAAGGGCAAAAGAAAAATTTCAAGAAAGATAAAGAGGAAAAAGACCTTCTAGGCCAGTATAATAGTCATAACTGATATCCCATTATATGTTACATATGGGATTATATATACCCTATATAACTGCAATGGATCACTCTTCACTTATATCTTTGTTTTTACCTTCCCAGAAAGAGATCCCTGATACTTTATAGTGATAGATAGCCATTAATACTCTCTATTTCATTATAAGTGCCTTAAGTTTTTTTAATAGTACTTTTTACCTGATATGTATTTTTCTCCACCTACATGAAAGATCTATCAAGGAAGTAGCAAATCAAGTAGTTTGCCCTCCTTATTTACTTTTATATCCTCAAAATTTGATACACAGTACAGCTCTTAATAAAGAAAAAAGGACTACGGCCCTTATTACCTGATGATGGTACACCCACCAAGCACTAGTGATAACTCGTGCATCCCAAGCAGCACTGTAGCAAAGTGCCATTGTGCCAGCCTCAGTCAGTGTCCGTGGAGGGATGGGTTCTCCTATAAAAATAATATTACATTTCAATACTCAAGTACATACTTTCTACAAAGCAAGATATAGTATAACCAGTTCAATTATCTTAAATACTAACACCATGCTTTATTTCAAGATTTAAAAAAATGATTGTTTTAATTGAAATATATTTACATGAAAGGCTTTTAAAAGACCTATGTACATAAGAAATATCACAGAAGAAATATCCTTTCAATTATATCAATCATTTTAACTTCATTCCATAAAGTATAATTTAGAAAAATCTCAAGTTTGAAGACTTTTAGAAGTACTATCCCTTAGATTTCAAATATTCTTTAATTGGGATGTAATTCATAGATCATAAAATTCACCTTTTATAGTGTACAATCCAAAGGTTTTTAGTATATTTACAAAGTAGTGGAACCATTATCATTATCTAACTTCAGAAAACTTTCATCCTTCCCAAAAAGAAATCTGCATCTTTTAGCAGCCATTTTCCATTTTCCTTCCTATATGAAGCTCCTGACAATCACTAACTTTCTGCCCCTATAGATTTGCCTATTTTGAGCATTTCATATAAACTGAATTATATATAGTCTTTTGTATTCTTTCATTTAGCACGTTTTCAAGGTTCATCCATGCTAGCCCAGCGCAGTGGCTCACACTTGTAATCCTTGCAACTTGGGAGGCTGAGGCAGGGGAATCACAATTTCTAGGCCAGCCTGTGCAACTTAGGGAGATCGCAAGAATCTATCTCAAAATAAAAGGGCTGGGGATGCAGGTTCATTCCCCAGTAGCAAAAACAAAAAAATAGTTCATCCATGTTAGCGCACAGATACTTCCAATTATTCCACTATATGGATAACACCACATTTGGTCTATCAATTCATTAATAAATGAACATACTTGTTTCCATTTCTTGGTTATTATAAATAATGCCACTGTGAATATTTGTAAACAAGTTTTGAATGGATACATGTCTTCAATTATCTTGGGTATTCAAAACTAGGAATTACTGGGTCACAACTATATTTAACTTTTTGAAGAAATGCCATATCATTTTCCATAGCAACTGTGCATCATTTTCTAGTCCTCCCAACAGGGTATAAGGATTCTAATTTCTCCACATTCTAACCAATATTTGTCCATTTTTTTTCCTGGTAACCATCTGGTGAGTATGAATTGGCACTTCACTGTGGATTTGATTTGCATTTCCCCCATCTTTTAATGTGTTTCTTGGTCATTTGTCTATCTTTGAACAAATGTCTGTTCAAATCCTTTGCTTTTTTTTTTTTTGGTACCAGGGATTGAACACAATAGTGCTTAATCACTGAGGCACATCTCCAGTCATTTTTTATTTTTATGTTGAGACAGGGCCCTGCTAAGTTGCTGAGACTAACTATGAATTTGTGATGCTCCTTTCTTGGCCTCCCAAACTGTTGTGATCACAAGCATATGCCACTGTGTCCATCCTTTGCTCATTTTTTAATTGGGTAATTTTCCTTTTTTACTGTTGAGTTTTATGTGTTTTTGAATATTGGTCTCTTATTAAATGATCTATAAATATTTCTGCTGTTCTGTGGGTGTCTTTGACTTTCTTAATAGCATCCTTTGAATTAAGGTTTTTAGTTTTGATAAAGTCCAACTTACCTGTTTTTCTTTGATTGCTTATGATATTGGTGTCACATCTAAGAAATGATTGCATGATCCAAGATTATGAAGATTTGACTTTTAACAGTCTTATAGTCTTTGAGCTAATTTTTGTAAATGGTGTAAAGAAAGGGTCCAACTTCATTCTTTTATATGAGGATATCTAATTTACCCAGTACCACTGATAAAAAGATTATTACATGAAAATACAGACCACAGACTGGGAGAAAATATTTGCAAAAGATATATATCAGATGAAAAATGGTTACCCAAAGTTTGTTACACAAACAATTCTTAGACCTTAACAATAAGAACACAGTTCAAAAGTCAGGCATGGTGGTATACACATGTCTGTAATCCCAACATTATTGAGTTAGCTGAGGTAGGAGGATCAAGCTCAAGCCCAATGCTGGCAAATTAGACTGTCTCAAAAGAAAAAGAAAACCTGAGGATGTAGCTCAGTGATTAAAGCACCCATGGGTTCATTCTGCAGTACTACAAAAAAATAAAGTCCAAAGACCTTAACAAAAGAAAATATACAGATACGCATATTAAAAGATGCTTCACATTATATGTCATCAGGAAAATGTGAATTAAAATGAGATACCACCATATACCTATTTGAATGGCCCAATCCAGAACACTGACAATACCAAAGGCTATCAGGGATGTGGAATGCAAGAACTCTCATTCATTGTCACTGGAAATCGAAAAGGGTACAGCCACTTGAAAAGACAGTTTGGTGGTTTCTCACAAAATTAAATATACTCTTACCATATGAGTTAGCAACTTTTGCTTCTTGGTATTTTCCCAAATGAAAATGTTTATCTATATGAAAAACTGCATCTGGATGTTTATAGCAGCATTATTCATAACTGCCAAAACTTGCCCTTCGGTAGGTGAAATGAATAAATAGATTTTGATAAATTCTAGCAATGGAATATCATTCAATGCTAAAAAGAAATGAGCTATCAAATCCCAGCAATTTGGGGGCTACTGAGGAGGAGGATCACAAGTTCAAGGCTAACATCTGCAACTTAACCAAGACCTTCTCTCAAAATTAAAAAAATGGAAGAAAAAAAAAAAAAGGTCTGGGGATGTAGCTCATTGGTAAAGCATCCCTGGGTTCAATCTCCAGTACCAAAAAAAAAAAAAAATCAGTGGTTGCCATGGGTTAGGGATGAACAGGTGAAGCACAGAGGACTTACAACAATAAAAAGACTATATGATATTATAATGGTAGATACATGTATTTATACTTATTCCAACCCATAAAATGTACAACTAAAGTGAATCTTACTATAAACTATGGACTCTAGGTCAGAATGATGTGTCAATACAGGCTTGTCAATTTTAACAACTACCACTCCGGTGGGGGATACTGATAATAACAGGCTATGCATGTGTGGGAAGAGGTTACACAGTAAAGCTCTGTATCTGCTGCTCAATTTTGCTGGGAACCTAAAACTCATCTAAAAATCAATTCTATTAAAATTTTAGAAGGAGAGACAAACGATATTTTGTTTCCAAAGAATGGTCATGGCACCCTTGATGAAAATCAACTAATTATAAACTACAGGGTTTATGTCTGGAAACTCAATTCTACTTGGTGATCTATGTGTGTGCCCTTATGCCAACATCATATTGCCCTGATTATTGAAGTGTAAGGCCTCCAAATTTTCAACAATGCTTTCGCTAAACTGGGTTTCTTGCATTTCCATATGAATTTTAGGAGCAGTTCTGTTAAAAAAGAAAAAGGCAGCTGGAATTTTGAGACAGATTATACTGAGCCTAAGAATTACTATGGGTAGTAATGCTGTCAGGATTTCCAATCCATACATGTGGGAGTCTTCCATTTACCAACAGTCCTCCTTTACAAGGGTTGGGGATATATGTTCCAAAATGTCAATGTTTAAAAAACCAAATTGTTTTATTGAGTTTCTTTATTGTTTTCTTATTTGTTTCAATTATTCCTACTTTAATCTTTATTATTTCCTTCCTTGTCTAGCTCTGAGTTATTTTTCTGACAAAGTATAAAGTCATTGATCTGAGTTTTTCCTCTTTTTAAGCATAGGAATTTATAGCTATAAATTTTCTTCTAAATAATCTCATTAATTTTGATATATTATGAATGAGTTATATTGTTTAATTTCCACATATTTGTGAATTTTCCAAATTTTATACAACTGGTTTCTAATTTCATCCCATTAAAGTCAGAAAAATTATTGTGCATGATTTTAACTGTCTTAAATTTATTAAGATTTATTTTAAAAACTATCAAAATGGCTTATCCCAAAGAATGTTCATTATAGAAAAATAAATATTCTATTATTAGATTGAATGTTCTAGAGCTGTCAGTTGAGTTTAATTAGTTGATAGTGCTGTTCAAGACTCCTAGTTCCTTGTTAATCTATTGTCTAAGTATTCTAATAATTGACTAAAAGCTGGATTTTGAAGTCTCCAAATATGATTACAGATCTATTTCTTCCTTTAATACTGTCTGGCTTTGCTTCATATAATTCTAGTAGATGCATATATGTTCATAATTGTTTTACTGTCTTCACAGGATACCTTTTATCACTACATTCTTGTGTGTGTGTGTGTGTGTGTATATGTGTGTGTATGGTGCTGGGGCTTGAACCCAGGGACTTACGCATGAAAAGCAAGCACTCTACTAACTGAGGTATAGCCCCAGCCCCTACTATATCCTTTATTAAATCTTACAGTTAAAAAAAAAAAAAATTAAGGAAAAAAATTAAATTTTGAATAATATATTATTATTACCTGTTGGATTCTTAATTACACAGCTAGTAGCTCCATGAAGATCAGCATGTACATAGATGTCACCTTAAAAAAAAGAAAAATAAGAAATGATACTTTAAGTCCTATTTCTTTTTCTTCTTCTTCTTCTTTTTTTTTTTGTGTGTGAAACAGGGTCTCACGATGTTGCCAATCCTGATCTCAAATAACTGGGCTCAAGCAATCTTCCTGCCTCAGCCTCCCAAGTACTTATAACGATAGGTATATGATACTGCACCTGGTTTTAACTCCTATTTCTTCTTTTTTCTTAATAACTTTATTTTATTTATTTATTGTTATTATTTTTTTATGTGGTGCTGAGGATCAAACCCAGTGCTTCATACATTTGAGGCAAGCACTCTACCACTAAGCCACAACCCTAACCCTTAACTCCTATTTCTAAAGGTAAAAAATTGTTACAAACTTCAACAATAAAAAATTAAATTTTTTTTCAGGGTGAATGGGTACCAGGGATTTAACTCAGGGGCACTCAACCACTGAGCCATATCCCCAGCCCTTTTTATCTATTTTATTTAGAGACCCCTGTCTCACTGAGTTGCTTAGTGCCTCGTTTTTACCGAGGATAGCTTTGAACTTGTGAGCCTCCTACCTCAGCCTCCTAAGATACTGGGATTACAGGTGTGCACCACCATGTCCAGCTGAAAAATTATTTTAAAATACTACTACACTGCCATTGGAGGATTAAAAACTATTTTATAATTGTTGTAGGAGATCAAAAGTCCAACACCACAGGGTTGAAATAAAGATACTGTGGCCAACTACAACTAAAAAATAAATATATATATAAAAAGTCCAACACCACAGGTTAGCTCAGCAGTACTACTTTAGGAATATCCACTTAAAATGAGAATTAGGTGGCAAAGCACATCTTCAACACATGAACTGTAAAGTATCAAACAAGAATACAGATGAAAATCAGTCCCTAACATTGAGATAACTGGTACAAACATTAAGAGAATTTTTTAGAATTTTAATCTTACCTACCTGGTGTTAAGTATCTTTTCACAATTATTTCATTCTGTTGCTGATCTCGTCCACCTATTATTAGATAGTTTTCTGAGCTTATGAACCACAGAAACTTCTCAAACCTACCAAATGGAAAGAAAACAAAGTTAATATTTTTTTCTTCTTGGCTGCCTATATTCACACCATTTAAAAAAAAAAATCAGGAAACAATCCTGATTATGTAGGTTAAGACATCTTGATGATTTAATTATTTTTAAAATATCAAGCTGGGCTGGGGATGTGGCTCAAGTGGTAATGCACTCGCTCGGCATGCATGGGGCGCTGGGTTCGATCCTCAGCACCACATACAATAAAGATGTGTCCACGGAAACTGAAAAATAAATATATTTTAAAAAAAAATTCTCTCTCTCTCTCTTTAAGAAAAAAAAAAATCAAGCCAATAGTAAGGGGTTTGTAAAATGATGAACACAAGGACAAAGAATGGGGGATAATCATCCTCATAAAAAATATGTTACAAGCCAATAAAAAATAGTCTATCTGAAGAGGGTAATAAAGGGACAGAAAAGAATATAGAACAAGTGGGACTAGGAATACAGCTCAGTGCCTGAGTGATTGCCTAGCATGTGTGAGGCCCTGGATTCATTCACTAGCATGGGATAGGGAGACAAGACGGACAAACAGCAAATAGGCAGATTTAAATCTAAAGATACTAGAGAATATATAAAATCTAAATGTGTTAAAGGCCTCAGAAAAAAAGGCAAAGACTATCAGAATGGAAAATAATGACAACAGCGTGGATATATATCTATATATACATCCTAATCACATATACATCCATGTATATATATGTGTGTGTACACATAAATTCACATTTCTTAAAAATATAAGGCTATATATGATGACAGAAAAAGATATATCATTCAAGAACTAACCAAAAAGAAAGCTGATTTAGTTATAACCCCTGACAAAGAATGAAAAAAGTTAAAATTAGAAGGACATTTCATTAAAGTTGATAACAGGCTGTATTCATCAGGATGATATAATACTTCAAGATAGGTATCTCTTAATTACATAGCCTTGTGTATGTAAAGTAAAAGAAGACATTGACAAATCTACAATATTTGAAAGTTCTTAAGCAGAACAAGCTTTTTGCCAATCTTTTTCAAAGTCTTAGAAAAATTCTGCTTAGCAAAACTAGAAAATCTGAATAGTCCTTATATCTACTAAGAATTTGAGTCCATAATGAAAAACTTTTCCATAAAGAGAACTCTAGAAATACTGAGCTTCACAAGTGAACTTCATCAAACATTTAAGGGCAAATGCAAAAGGAACCTTCTTAGCTTGTTTTGTGAGGCCATATGACCTTGATACTAATTCCTAATAAGAATATTATAAGAAATGAAAATCATAGGCTATCCTATTGATCAAAAGAGATGTCAAATTAATTCATACTAAAAAAAGAGGAGACAAATAAAAAAAATCTGTTGGATGCAAAACAGACAAGTGATCAGACTCAAGAAGCTGAATCTTATGCTTATGCCAACAATGGAAAAACCCAAGAAACAACTCAATTTACACTGTCTAATTCATATAAAGCTCAAAAACAGAATTACAAGTAGTAAAGGAAGATAGGGGTTAAGATGGGACTTCAGAAACAGGAGGACTGGCTGAAGTCTATTCAGTTAGTTCCCTGTATTTTCTTTCTAGCTGTAAATATGTTTGTAACTCCCTTTCCACATCCTAACAGATATAGGAATAACATATATAATATATGTGATACATATAAAACAAAACAAAGAGTAAATGTCAAAAATACTGGATAGTAAGCCCCCCCCAGACTATTATTCCCACTGGGCTACCCACATGTTGACAGCCAGGTCTTCACCTTAAGCAAGGGAATAAAAGAATCATTTTGGAACATCAAGAAGAAAAGAGCTAAAGACCACAAGAATTTTATCCAAAATGGCCTACATGGATCGTCATACAAGTCCAACCACTTCCAATCAGCATTTTTTAGTTTTTTTTTTAAGATATTGATGAACCTTTATTTTATTTATTTATATTCAGTGCTGAGAATTAAACCTAGTGCCTCACACATGGTACGCAAGAACTCTATCACTGAGCCAAAACCCCAGTCCCCTAATCAGCATTTTAATACTCTACTATAAAATGTGAATAGTTGGGGGGCTGGGGATGTGGCTCAAGCGGTAGCACACTCGCATGTGCGGGGCACTGGGTTAGATCCTCAGCACCACATAAAAATAAAATAAAAATGTTGTGTCCCCCGAAAACTAATAAAAAATTCTCTCTCTGTCTCTCTCTCAAAAAAAAAAAATGTGAATAGTGTGCTGGAATTGTGTAAGTTCAGTGGTAAAGAGCTTGTGTGAGGCTCTGAGTTCAATCTCTGGTAGGCAAATCAAAAGTTTGAGGCCTACCTTAGTAAGTTAGTGAGATCCTGTCTCAAAACAAAAAGTAAAAAAGGACTGAGGATATAGCTCAGTGATAAAGTGCCCCTAGTTGCAATCCTCAGTACACCACCGCCACCACCAAAACAAAAACACTTCTCAGCTAAATAAAACTAGAGCAGGACATAAAACAGGCATGAAGAACCAAAAGAGAGTTCCTAGAATTAAAAGCATAAGGTTAGGGATGTAGCTCAGTGACAGAATGCCTGCCCAGCATACTTGATTGAGTTCCTAGGTTCAACCCCCAGTACCAGGGGAAATTTTTTTTTTTTTTAAATCATGATAGGAGGGGCTGGGGATGTGGCTCAAATGGTAGCACGCTCGCCTGGCATGCGTGCGGCCCGGGTTCGATCCTCAGCACCACATACAAACAAAGATGTTGTGTACGCCAAAAACTAAAAAATAAATATCAAAAAACTCTCTCTCTCACTCTCTCTTTAAAAAAAAAATAAATCATGATAGGAATAAATAAATTCAATGGAAGAACTGAAAGTTGAAGAAATCTCTCAGAATGTATTATAAGAAAATAAGAGTTAAAAAACAAAGAAAATTGGAGGACCCACCTAGGATGTTCCATAACTAAAACTGGATTTCCAGAAAAAAAAAAAAGACATAGTAGACAACAGGCAGTTTTTCAAGAACTGCAATGCTGGGGTATGGCTCAGTGGTAGAGCTCTTGCCTAGCATGCCCAAGGCCAAGGGTTTGATCCCCAGCATTGCAAAAACAGAAAGAATCATGTCAAGAAAATGTCTCAAAACTGAAGGTTAGGGCTGGGGCTATAGCTCAGTGGCAGAGTGCTTGCCTATCAAGTGTGAGGCACTGGGTTCGACCCTTAGTGCTACATAAAACTAAACAAAGGCATGCTGTCCATCTATAGCTATTTAAAAAAAAAATTAAAACAACAACAACAAAACAAACAAAACCCGAAGGTTAATAGGGCTCAGAAAATATCCAGCATAATGGATTAAAACATCCTTATGAAATCATCAGGAAGGGCAGCAGGATTAATTGAACATAACTTTCCTAGTCTTATATTTGAATACACAATCAGGATTATTCCCCATCATGTACAACCACAAGAATAAGATCTCAATTAGAATAAGTTATACTCCATGTATGTATAGTATGCCAAAATATATTCTCTGTCATGTATATCTAAAAAGAACAAATAAAATAAAAATAAATTAAAACAAAGCAAACATACTATCATGAAATTCTATAAATTTTTTAGGAAAAAATGAGGAGAGAAAAAAAAAGAAAATGAAAAATTACAAGTTTATGGAAGGCAAAAACAAGTTGCATATAAAATATCAATGTCAAAATAACATCTGGGCTGAGGATATAGCTCAGTGACAGAGTGCTTACTTAGCAGGCACAAGGCCCTAGGTGGATCCTCAGAACTAAAAAAAAAACAAAAAACAAAAAAAACCCACAAACACAAACAAAAAAACCCTTGAGCTGGGCATGGCATGTGGTTTCAGCTATTCAGGAGGCTAAGCCCAGAAGTTCAAGCCAGCTAGCAACACAATGGGATGCCATCCTCCACACACACACACACACACACACACAAATCCTTATGAAATCATACCATCAGGAAGGTATTCTTCTCAAAATCAATTCTGAAAGTTACTACAACAAAGCAATGCCTTCCAAAGTCTAAGTGCTGGGAAAATATAGTTTCAATATTGTGTGCATGTAAAAAAATTACATATATATATGTATATATATACATGTTTATTTCAAACTAGATTTCTACACCAAAAACCCTATTAAATATGAATAAAATAATTTTTTATACATTAGAGAACTTTAAACTAAACTTTACCTCCTGTACAAACCTTTCTCATGAAGTTCTGTACACACTCCATACCAACCAATAAACAGAAGTATGAGATCCAGGACAGAAAATCCAACACAAAGAGGGGGAAAGAGATCTTCTAAGATAATAATAAAAGGAGATTTTAATATGCTAAGATGCAGGTCAAAAGCTCCAAGAGAGACCTCTGACCTCTACAAGGCAATAATAATAAAGGAATTTCACTTGAAAGAGAATCTGAAGATGAATTAGCGATAAAAATAAGGGCTGGGTTTGAGGCTCAGTGGTAGAGTGCTCGCCTCACATGTGTGTGAAGCTCTGGGTTCAATCCCCAGCACCACATAAAAATAAATAAAGTAAATAAAGGTATCGTGTCTATCTACAACCGAACGAATATTTTTAAAAAATAAAAATAAAGCAAACCCTGCCTGTAATCCCAGCTAGGCAAGAAGATCCAAAGTTTGAGCCAGCCTGGGCAACTTAAGAAAATTCTATCTCAAAATAAAAAACAGGAAATAAAAACAGCTAGAGATATAGCTCAGTAGTAGAGCACCCCTGGGTTGAATCCCCAGTATCACAAAAAAAATAAAAGAAATAGAAAGCAAATGAAACAAGAAAATTATTGACTAAGCAAGATAAAAAACTGAGCAAGAAGCCAAGCACAGTGGCACACACCTATAATCCCAGTGACGTGGGAGTCTGAGGCAGGAGGATCACAAGTTTGAGGCCAGCCTGGGCAACTTAGTAAGATCCTGTCTCAAAATAAAAATACAAGTGTCTCTGGATTCATTCCCCAGAACTGCAATTTAAATATTCAAACTGTCATTGATAACTATCATTCTTGACAAAATTATTCTGTAAGTGTGTGAGTGCAACAGAGCACAAATAAGAAAGAAATGAAATTCTCATCTTCCATAGTTAGAAGTCAATAGTAAGACTGTAAAAAGGAAAAAGTAGGCAGCAATATAAGCATATTATAAAAAAAAAGGCAAAGAAAAGAGAAGGCAATGGGAATGAGGTGAAGAATTACAGGGCTACTGGTTTTGTAATAACATTTATAGAACTACTGGACCTTCTAAATACTGTACTTGTACACTTCTGGTAAAACAAACTAAGTTTTAAAAAGGGAGAACACTTACCAATATACTTTTCTTGCTTTCTGAATAGAGGTGACTGTTTGAACTTCTTTTAATGTTTGCTTTGTTTTCTTTTCTGCTGATTTGAATGCCTATTTATAGGAAAAAATAATAAACTTTTAAAATAATTTGTTCAGAATGTATTTAAATACACCCAGGTAAACAATGGGACAAGAAATAGTTTTGTGTTTTATGATACTGGGGACTGAACCCAAGCCCAAGGGTATTCTACCACTGAGCTATATCCCCAGCCCTTTTATGTTTTGTTTTTATTTTTTTTAATATTATTTTATTTATTTATTTATATATTTTTTAAAGTATTATTTTAATTGTCAACAAGTCTTTATTTTCTTTATTTATATGTAGTGCTGAGAATTGAACCCAGTGCCTCACACATGCTAGGCAAGTACTTTGCCACTGAGCCATAGCCCAGCCCTTGTTTTGTTTTTTTGAGACAGGGTCTCCCTAAGTTGCCCAGGCTAGCCTTGAACTTAGAATCCTCCTGCCTCAGCATCCTGAGTTTCTGTGGTTACAGACATGCCTCCATACCAGGTAAGAAATAGGGTTTTTGTTTTTGTTTTGTCTTTCATAAACACATCCATTTTTATTAAGTATGCAAAAAAATGCACATAAGATTATAGTAACTCAAACATTTTACTTACCAATGATTGGAAAATTTTTACAGTAGTTTTTAAAACTAGCATTTTCTACCCACTAACATATATATATTTGAAAGTAATGAAGAACAAAAGATTTTGCCTTAAATATTAAAATAACTTAAAAGTCAAAACTTGAACATATGCAAATATTAGCTCAAGGCATACAAATAAAGAACTACCTTGTTCACTTATCAGATTCCAAGTGCTATCATGTTGCTGGTTTTAAGTGGATACAATAGTGAACAAGATGGGAACAAAGCCCCCTCCCATACCCCACTGGAGTCTATGAAAAGAGGCACTATTAAACAAGTACTCATTCAAATAAACATATGGTAAGTGCTTCTAAGAATGTTATCAAAGCATAACAAAGGAACCCAATTTATACTAGATTTTGATCAAAGAAGGTATCTCTGAGGAAATGGCATTGAAGCTGAAATCTAAAGGATTTATGAAGTTATCAGACTGAGAATAGGAAGAAGAGACCTATCAACAGAAAGAAAAGACCAGCTAGTAGTGATCATAGGATAAAATATCATGAAATGAGATCAGAGAGCAGTAGATAGAGGCAGACTTCATGAAGGTTACTCATTTAACATACATTAAAGTTACTGTTCTATTCCAGGCACTATTCCAGGGATTAGGATGCAGCAATCAATAAAACAGACAAAGATCCTACATTTTGCTGGGTATGGTGGCACAGGCTTGCAAATCCAGCTACTGTGGAGGCTTAGGCAGGACTGTTAAGTTCAAGGACAACCTGGGCAACTTAGTGAGACCCTTTTTTTTTTTTAAAGGGGGTAGGGGGTATATATAACCCAATGCAGAGTACTCCTGGATTCAATACCAGTACTGAAAGGAAAAATCCTACTTTTACGCAATCTACATTTCAGAGGAAAAACATAAGTATTCCAACAGATATGTCTGTTGGCAAGATTTTTCTTTTTTTTTTTTTTTTTTTTTGTGGTGCTGGGAATTGAACCCAAGGCCTTGTACATGCAAGGCAAGTACTCTACCAACTGAGCTATCTCCCCAGCCCTATTGGGAAGATTTTTTTAAAGAAGAAATCAACAAAGTAGAGATGCAGGGTGGTACTAATTTTATTAAGTGGTCAACAAAGTCTTCTCTGGTAAAGTCTCAATTTAAGGAGATAAGTGAATGAATAGAATGATCAAACCATGAAAATTTCAGGAAAGAGCATTCCAGGTAGAGAAAAGGAAATGCAAAGGCCCTGAGAGGACAATTTACCATGGCTTTAGGAATAGCTAAAATCACAATGTAGCCAGAAAGAATGTTTAAAAGGAAGAATTCAAGTGAAGAGGTCAGAGGAAAGCAGATCACACAGGCCCTTAAGGCCAAGAGAAGGGTTTTGAGTTATATAAAAATGGAAAGGAATTAAAAAATTTTAAATAGAGGAGAGAATGGACTTCACTTGTGATTTAAAAGCATCACCAGGATTGCTATTGGAGAACAGGCTGTTTTGGGAAAAAGGTAGGACACAAATCCAATTAAGAGACTGCTATTATAGTCCATATGAACACAGAAAATAAAGGGCCGACCCATGAAAAAAGAGATGTGTGAGGTTCTGGTTAATACTTTAAAGTAAAAACCAAAAAGATCCACTAATACGTTGGATATGATTTATGAGCAAAAAAGTTCAGAACCTCTCCAACATCTGAGCACAGAAGAATGGAGAGGAAAAGGTTTGAAAAAGAAAATAAATACTGGAAATACATTTAAAGCACCATTAAATTCAAAAGACCTTTCTGAATTAAAAAATCTCATTTAGGCAGGTGTGGTGGCACACACCTATAATCCCAATGGCTTAGGAGGCTGAGGCAGGAGGATTGTGAGTTCAAACCCAGGCTCAGCAATTAGCAAGGCCCTAGGCAACTCAGTGAGACACCTTGTCTCTATAAATAAAAATATAAAAAAGATATGCCCCTATATCCCTTTTCATTATTCAAACAGAATTCAAAACATTTTTCCCCCCCCATGGCATAAAAGTAAAGTTTGGTAGAATAAATTCTTAAAGAGCAGAAATTACTAAACACTTTTTTATCTTATTAATACATTACATTTTCTCAACATTATTGCCAATATTTTACAGGTATATGGCTCAGTGTTTAAGTACTTGGGTTCCACCCCCAGTCTCAAAAAAATTTTTTTAAATTTCATTTAAACAGAAAAAATAGTTAAGGCTATTAAAGCAGGCGAAAACAGTTAACATTCACTCTAATATTAAATACCTTCTCAGCAGCTTCAACAGTCTTTTGTGTTTTCTTGGCAGCATTTCTCTTGTGATCATAATACCTAGAAAAATATATCTCTTAACTTTAAGTAAAATCTTTATTCTTTAGTTTTCTACTTATTTCTAATTTTACAGATTATTTAATCACAGAACAAAGCTGAATAATGCACCAAATTAAATTTTTAAAAAGGCATTTCCAGAGGGGGATAGGGTTTCCATAATGTGAGGGGGAACCAAGAAAATTTCAATAACAATATATTTTCCAGCTTTCCATCTGTACACTAAAATAAAGTATTAATACTGGGGCAAAGGGAGTATTTTCACCAAAACAATGCTCTTAACATTCTTAATACTTATTGCAGATAATGTTACCTAAAATTTGTGTTCAAATGACTTACTTCTTGGCATTGGCATATGCTGATAAGCTGAGATCAACATCAACGAGCAATGGCTTATTTTTCTGAGGCTTCTGCAGCTGTTTGTTCTTTTGCTTTTTCTTTTTTCCTTTTGGTGGTTCAGTTTCATTTTTCTCAACACTGACATCACCATCAACATCGTCATCTTCCTCCTCTGATAATAAGTATGGATTTCTATTAAAAATATTCAATAGTATTTCACTAATGTCAATGACATCACTTTTTTATTTTCATTTTTTTCCTCAATGAAATTATAAATGGCTTGTTTCATTATTTATTCTAGTGTAAATTAATTTTTTCTAAGAATAAATTTCGAAAGAAAAAAATTAAAATACAGTGAACAATTAAATAACAAAATAAAGATAAGCACTGACTACTTAACTAAGAACCAAACTTACCTTAGCAGCATTGTAACATGATTTGTTTGTAGTTTTAATTCTTTGATTGCACTTGCAACAGGGTCTCCTTGAGCTTGGGCTTCTTTCACGATTACCCCAATTTCTGTCCAATCTATCTGGTTGGCTAAAGCACTTCGAACTACCTGAATGGCTCTGTCAACTATCTGTAGGTTCATTTCTATGAGTTCTCCTTTCAGTTTGTCTATTTCCTTAAAAAAATAAACCAAATACATATACTATAATGCCAGTTGAGGTTATCATTTAAAAAAAAAAAAACATGAAAAAGCTAAACACAATACCTGAGCCTGTTGAAGAGCTTCTAATCTGTTTTCGTGATCCTTTCGGACATTATCTAATTTCTTCAGTGCTTGTTTTTCCTTTTGGTGACAAAACACACTTAAAAATTAGATTTCTCCTACTTTATGGCACTTTCTCTTAACTCCTAAAATTCACTATTCTGGTCCCACCTCTGCTGCCTTAATGTCATTTAGCTAGCTCAAGTTCCCCCTAGTCCATTTTTCCACCAGAAAATGTTCCATGCTCCAAAATTACTTCTCTCCCTCTCCTCATATACCTCCTGTGCCCTAAACAGGAAGGTGTTCTGATTAAAGGTTACATTAAATTGTAAGATATGCCCTTTGTCATTATTCAAACAGAATTCAAAACATTCTTTTCCTATGACATAAAAGTTTGGTAGAATAAATTCTTAAAGAGCAGAAATTACCAAACACCTTTTTATTTTATTGATACATTTCATTTTCTCAATATTATTGCCAATATTTTACAGAGCACTTTCCTCCTAAATTAGAAATACAAAGTTTTATGGTGGTTATCTGACCTTCTATATAGCATTTTATCATATCAAATTTACATTTCAAGGGGCTGGGGTTTTGACTTGGTGGTAGAGTACTCGCCTAGCATGTGCGAGGCTCTGGGTTCGATCCTCAGCACCACATATAAATAAATGAAATAAAAGTAGTGTGTCCAACTACAACTAAAAAACAAAATGAAACATAAAAAAAAAGAATTTACATTTCAAGGTTGATTTGGGGACAAATTTTCTAATAATATTAACAACACCAAAAATTAGTGAATATTAAAATGTGAGATGAAATACCAAAAAAGATTTACAAGAATGCTATTAAAAGAACCCATGAAGATTACCAAAATAAATTAATGTTTGGGACCAGAAGTAGTTCAGATTTTAAGTTTCCTGAATTTTTTAATATTTGCATGGACTTTACCAGCTGTATAGCCCTAACACGAAAATCTCAAATCTAAATCTTCCTGAGCACCAATGACAATCAAAAAGTTTCAGATTTTTGGGCTGGGGTTGTATTAAGTGGCAGAGCACTTGCCTTGTACAGGTGAGGCACTGGGTTTGATCCTCAGCACCACATAAAAATCAATAAGCGAATAAAATATTTTTCAGATTTTAGAGCATTTCGAGTTTTCAGATTAGGGATGCTCAATCTGCAGTTTTTATTTAAAAAATTTTTTTAATATTTATTTTTTAGTTTTAGGTGGACACAATATCTTTATTTTACATTTATGTGGTGCTGAGGATATAACCCAGTGCCTCATACCAGCGAGCACTCTACCACTGAGCCACAATCCCAGCCCCTTATTTTTAATTTTCAATCTGAAGCCAGGCACAGTGGTACCTGTCTGTAATCCAGCAACTCAGAGGCTGAGGCAGGAAGATCACAAGTTCAAGGTCAACCTCAGCAATTTAGCAAGCCCTTAAGCAACTCAGTAAAAAGGGCTGTGGATGTAGCTCAGTGGTGAAGCACTCTTGGGTTCAGTTCCCAGAACAACAACAAAAAAATTTTTTATTCTTTCAATCTGTATTTTTGATGCACATAAAAACATGGGTATCAATGTTACTGCTAAGCATTTGTTCGTTAGCCAAAGTACTATGTAGCAATCATGTAATCCATTTAATTACCTGCTTTGATATTGTACTTACTATTAACTATTTTTTTTAAACTAAACAGGAGGGGGTACATAACCTGAAATTTTTGCACATATATTTTAAGACTTGAATTTTTAAAAAATGAAGTCTCTTTAAAAAAATCAAGTCTTTTCTAAATCAAGAATGACTATTATCAATTCTTGAAAAGTTCTGCCAGCACATACTTTAAAAATATGGTCAAATGGGGCTAGGGTTATAGCTCAGTGGTAGAATGCTTGCCTGGCACATGTGAGGCACTGGATTCAATATTCAGCACCACATAAAAATAAATAAGTAAAATAAAGGTATTGTGTCCATCTACAACTAAAAACCAAAACCAAACAAACAAACAAACAAAAAACCATGGTCAAATGTGTTGGAAAAATATTGCATATTAAATCCTCCTCATGGAGTCTCAATACACCGAAAATTAAAGGTCTAACTTTAGCTGGGCTTGGTGGCACACCCCTGTAATTCCAGCTATTTCAGAAGCTAAGGCAAAAGGATCCTAACTTTGTGGGCAGCCTTGGCAACTTATGGAGACTCTGTCTCAAAATTTAAAAGAAATAAAAAATAAAAAGGGATGTGGATATAGCTTAGTGATAGAGCACACCTTGGTTCGAAAGGAAAAAATTCTGAAGAAAACACAAGACCTAGTTTTATTAAAGTCCTTAAAAAAAAAAAAAGAGTTTATGACAAATAGGGAACAGTTGTAGCTTAGTGGTAGACTGCTCAGCGTGCAGGAAGCCCTGGGTACAATCCCTAGCACCAAAACACCAAATCAAACTAAACCAAAAAAAAAAAAAAAAAGATAAATAAGTCATTAATTTAATAATACCATACCTGTTGTAAAGCTTTTAAATCAATTTTTTGACCTTCTATCTTCGAATAAAATTCATCCACGGCCTTATTAAAGAAACAAATACACACTAGCTATAAAAACAGTATGGTCTCTACTTTAAATGTACACAGAATTTCTCAAAGAACTTGACAACATTTCTACTCCATGTATTAAAGAGCTAAATTGTATCAAGAATCAAATTAAGTTCAAGTTCTTTGGTCCTTCCCCTTCAAATAAAGTGGCAACAATTGTTTCCAGGAACTTTATCTATGACTGCATTGATTTTTAATGCCCAGATTCATAGCAAAAAGAATATATTCAATTCTCAATCAAAGCAGGCTGGTATTAAGACCTCATATCATTTCAGTATTTCAAAGTGACAAGAATATGTTAAATTCTTAATCAAAGCAAGCTGATATTAACACCTCATATCATTTCAGTATTTCTGAGGAATATATGGACTTTTTCAGAAAAGTATTTGTGAAATAATATAAAGTGCTCAATTTTTTTTTCTGATCAAAAAACAGAACTAGAAAACCCACCTTGTCAAATGATTCAAATTCTATATATGGACATTGTGAATGTTGAGAAAACAAGAAAGGATGAAATTCCTCATACCTGTAAAACATATTTATTATATCACATTCAAGAACATTAATAAAGATCCAAAGCAAATTGATCCATGCCTACATGCTTACGTGAGTATATCTTCAACTGGTTTATCTACTTCCAGGCTTGGTTTGATTTCTCTTTTCTGAATGATATATCCCTACAAAAATCCAATAATAAAATTATTTCTATTCATCATTAGTACAGACTTTCTTTCCACGTCTAACATTTTTATTAATTTTTATAAGTAAATATGTACTATGATTAGAGAAGAAAAATACTTATAAGGTATGAGGTAATTTTAAAACTGTTTAAATATTACAGATATGTAAATCACCAAATTACGGGAGTTGGAGATGTGACTTAAGAGTAGAGTGCTTGCCTCGTATGAGTGAGGCCCTGGATTCAATTCTCAGCACCACAAAACAAAAACAATAATTTACAAATTCAACTTTTCTGGAGTACTTGACATAGTACTTTCTATAAAAGGAGAACAAATATTATAAATCCATACCAATTATAAAAACTACCCTGGGACTGGAAGTATAGCTCAGTTGTATAGCATGTACTTAGCATGGTTTGAGGTTCTGGGTTGTTCAATCCTTAGCACCCAAAATAAACCACAACCAAGAGAAGAAAAATCTAACCCTGGAATAAGTATATCACAAATATCATTTTTAAAATATTAGAACAATAAAATATACGTATATTAATCCTTAAATGAACACTTAATTTCTAGAAAATCAAAATAAATGAAACATGGTGTACATGGTGTTACCTTTCCACTGAAGTTGGATGTTGTTTTCATATATTCTTCTGCCTTCTGCAGACAAATGAGTACTTTTTCAATATCTAATGGAATAAAAAAAGAAAAAGGAGTGCCAATCAAGTGTCAATTAACCAATTAACCATTAACAACTATGTAGAAAAGTATTTAAAAAATAATGTAAAGTGTTCAAGAAAATTAGGTATTGTTGTTTAATCAGTTTATATAAATAAGGTTATACCTTGGTCAGCCTATTACTGAATAAGTCATCTTTCCCTCCATGATCTGAAAGGCACTTTATTCAAACTAATTTCCTATATATATTTGAGCATATTTCTAGATTCTTTATTCTGACTCTGACTATTCCTTCTCTAAAAAGTTACTGTTTAAGTCACTGTAACTTACTATTATATTTTAATCTGTGAAAAGGTTATACATACAGTAATAATAGTTATACATACAGTAATAATAGTAACAAATCACTATTTTAGAGCTTTCTTACATGTTTTCACATGCTTTTGTTCCAGATGAATATCAGATTCATTTTATTAAAACAAAATAAAAATACCTCTTTATTAGCATTTCTATAATGAATAAAAATACCTTTATTATCATTTTGGAGGGGAGAATATACTGATTTAGTGTATTTCAGAAACTTAAACACTCAATTTACATTTTTAAACACAAATTATTCCTAAACCTTAAGAAATGATATACCTATAATATAAACAACAAGAATGATTTTTCAAATATTGCACAAGAAAAAAAATTACACAAGTATAAGTTGAATTTTGTTAAATACCAAATCTTATATTTTCCTAATGTTTCCTCTATTTTACTTCCTAATCTGGCAGTTAAATTAGGTTCCCTAGGTATTTACAAAAGCCTACTTCAATCATATGGCCACATCATAGAATTACAGAAATCCAAATGTATGAATAATGCTGTTTCTAGAAGCATTGCATGTTCTAGGTTTTAAGGCTACTGAATTCATCTCTTTGAGACTCTAATTGTCCCAAGCTGAGCCAGTCCAAAATCTTAGGGGATAGAAAGAAAATATTCTAAAGTGAAAAGTTTTCAAGATTGAACTGGCTAGTAGGTAAGGTGCAAACTTATAATCTAAGCTACTCAGGAAACTGAGACAAGAGGACATCATGTTTAAGCAGCCCAGGCAACTTAGCAGAAACATCTCAAAATAAAAAATAAAGGGCTGGGGAAGTAGCTCATTGGTAAAGTACCTCTGGCCTCAATCCCCAGTACCAGAGAAAAGACAAAAAAGTGCAAGATTGAACTACAAATTACCAAGGATAAAGCTACACAGTGGAGAAGGACAGGAATACCCACATGCATATGACACTCATAAGTCAAAGTTTTTTAAGTCTAGAATTACCTTTTAATTTATTACTTTATCAGAAATAATCTTCAGGGTTTTTTTGGGGTTTTTTGTTTTGTTTTGTTTTGTTTTTTTGCAGTGATGAGGACTGACATGCTATGCAAGTGCTCTACCACTGAGCTATATTCTCAATTCCAATTTTCAGTTTTTAAAAAAGGATATAAATGGGGGATGAGGGTGTGGCTAAGTGGTAAGGTGCTTGCCTAGCATGTGCAAGACCCTGGATTCAATTCCCAGTACTGGGGGGAAGAGGGGACAGATGAAAATGGACAAAACTTCAAAACCTGTACCATGCACATACCTTTACTTTCAAGTTTTTCATCCACTTTGACGTTGCCAGAGAATCCATTTTCTATAAGACAGTGCTCAATGAGAGCTGGCCCATAGGCTATAAAAGCAGAGAGAACTATTTTTACTATATTCCTATAAAATTAAATAAAAAATGTAGTACAAATTTACATTCAAATAAGAATGATCTACTCAATAAAAGAAGCCAATGAAAATAATAGTAAATGTACTTATTTTGAAGTATGATCCAAAATAACAATGAAGTATCACAAAAATTTAAAATATAAAAAACTTAGAGAAATCAGGTTAAGTTATAGGACTATAATAGTATTTAGCCACATATGAAAAGATTACAAACTATGACCAGGGGGATTATCACTGGAATGCAAGGTTGGTTTAGCATCTAAAAACTGATTTAATGTCCACATTAAAAATCAGGCAACAGGGGCTGGGACTGTGGCTCAGTGCTAGAGCACTTGCCTGTGATGCATGGAGCACTGGGTTCGATCCTCAGCACGACATAAATGTAAAATAGAGATATTGTGTCCACCTAAAACTAAAAAATAAATATTAAAAAAAAATTAAAAATCAGGCAATAGCTGGGCTTGGTGGCAGACAACTGTAATTCCAGTGACTTGGGAAGCCGGGGCAGGAAGGTAGCAAGTTCAAGGCCAGCCTCAGCAACTTAGTGAGACCCTCAGCAACTAAGCAATACCCTGTCTCAAAAAAAAGAAAAGACTGGGAATGTATCTCAGTGGCAAAGCACCCCTGGGTTCAATTCCCAGTATTGGAAAGAAAAAAAAAATCTTTAAAAATAAAACAGATCATTATTAAAAGATAATTTTAAAAAATATCATTTTAAACTCCTTGTTCATATTTTAAGCCAGAACCATAAAAAATTTAGATATAGTCCTGAAAATCACATTATCTTACAAATATTTCATTGCTATTATAGGATTACTCACGAAGTAATGGGTTAAGAATTCTCTTCAGTAGTTCTCCTTTAGGTGCACTGGCTATTACTTCAGTCAATCTGTGAAACAAAATTGACACAACTCTTACTGTCTTATATTAAAAAAAATTATAGCCTTGTTCACATTCACACTGCTTTCACCTCATCAATTGACCTAATCTTTATAATACTCTGCAATTAATAGAAATTAGTTCTCTTGTAAGTGAGGAAATGAGTTCATAAAAGTAGTTTATCCCAATCAGCAGCCTGGGAGTTGAATCGAGGTTTTTCTAAGAGAAATCAACTAAGACACACTCCTTATCATCAATTTGCCCACATGTGTCATGAAAGAGACATTTTTATATGTCAAATGTCCTTTGTAAATCATCATGCTGTATCTTAATATCTAAAATGGCTTTACCTAATTAATTTAATAAAAACTCTTAAGGATCCTGGGGATCAGTGTGATCACCAGATTAGCATTATCTGAGAACTTGTTAGAAATGCAGATTCCTGAGCTTTACATGAGGAATAGCAAAATGGAGCAATCTATGTTATAACAAGTCTTTCAGGAGATTCTGATGCTTGCTACACTTTGAGGACCACTACCATAGACTATTTGTCAGCAAAAGCCTTCGAGCCAGAAAAGTACAACTATAATCACCTTATACTACCTTAGTTCCCTTTTTCCTAAGTAAAACAAATTTCTCTCTCTTTGCACTCTGCCCAGGATGTCCATCTGCCTTCTCACAAAACAAGAGTTGTCCCCACTCTTTACCAACAAATCATAAATATCTGAAGTAACCCAAAACTTAGTTTAAAAAGACATGTATTTGTAGTTCAAGTAGTCCAAATTTAGTTGTTATCCAAGTAAACAAAGTATTTTTTATCTGACAGTTTTTCATATTCTGAAATATAACTATTTTTATCTTTTAATACAATATGAAATGAGTTTAAAACAAAAGATGTTACCTTTCCAAAGTAAGCAAAGGTTCAGCAGCTCTAGCATGATCAACTGGATAGCGTTCACGAACAGCAAATTTAACATCATCTGCCTCATCAGTTCGAAACCTTAGAATATTTAAAATCAGGTACTCATAATCTGTAAGAACAATGTTCCCCTGCAATAGAGTAAAATATAATTTAATGCTTTTTCAAAATAGTCATGAAACTTCTTAAAAAGGATGTAGTCTCTTAACAATCTTATTGAGGTTACAAAAATGAAGTTATAAAACAAAATACACCAAAGTCACATCTAAACAATCCTCCTTGAACCTGCCCAGCAGACTGAAACAAGATAAACAAATTCTAAAGACCCAAGTTTGAAACAGTAAAGATATCTAGAGCAACATCAAATTCACTGTCTGACACTACTACAGAAGTACTAGCAGAAGCACAATCATTTATTAACACCTTGACAACTACTAGGGGACCTCATGTTTATATTTGCATGAGCCAGGACATAAGAACTGACTTATTAAGAAAAATATATATTTTAGAAGCCAAGCAAAGAGCTATTATACTTTCATCTACAATTCGTCTTTTAATAACAATAGTTATGTGGTCTAATGTAGCCTAATGAATTAACTCAATAAACCCAAAGCTACATGCTTAAAGATGTTCACTGAAATTTATTTATAATAGAGGGGGAAAAAAAAGAAGAAATAGTCTACGTGTAAAAATCTGGGAAATTATTGTGTTGTGTTGTTTTGTTGGTGCTGAGGTTTAAACTTGGGGCCTTGTGCATGCAAGGCAAGCACTGTACCAACTGAGCTATATCCCCAGCCTCAGAAATTGCTAATTATGATAGATCAATTTAACAATAGTAAAATGTTATTACCTTATGAAGACTATGTTTAAAAAAAAACATTTTAATATTTAAATGTATATTTGAATGTGAAAAAAAAAAAGAAGTAGTAGTGAGACATGAGCTGGATGGGCTGGATATGTAGTTCAGTGACACAGTGACACTTGCCTAATATGTACAAGGTTCGGAATTCAGTCCCCAGCACCACAGAAAGGGGGAAAAAAAAAAAAGTCAGCAAAACACACAAAAAATTCTGTGGAAGGAGAAGGTATATGTAGACAAAATGAAATTATTTACTAAAGATTTACAATTAAAGACTTAATTTCAAAAAATGAAATTATAGCTGGGCATGGTGGCATAATCCCAGCAGCTTGGGAAGCTAAGGCAGGAGGATGGCAAATTCAAAGCCAGCCTCAGCAACTTAGTGAGATCCTGTCTCAAAATAAAAAATGAAAAAGGACTGGAGATGTGGCTCAGTAGTAGAGCACCCTTGGATACAACCCTCAGTCCCTATACCTTTGAAAAATCCATGAAATTATTAGGGCTAGGGACAGTGGTAGAGCACTTGCCTACTAGTATCCTAGCATGCATGAGGATCTGAGTTCAATACCTAGCACAGTCAAAAACAAAACCAAACAAACTAATGAAGTTTAGAATTAAAATTTAATGTTACTATATAACCTTTTTGGTAAAAAAGGGAGGACTTAATGAAGATAAAACTGCTCCCAAAATACAACCTTACAAACTTATTAGAGTGAAAATAAATTTAAATTTTAAACATTAATTTTAACTTAAAGAATATAAAATTAACTGGAGCCTGGGGGTAATGGCACATGCTTGTAATCCAAGTGGCTAGGGAGGCTGAGGTAGGAGGATTGCAAGTTCAAAGCCAGCCTCAGCAACTCAGCAAGGCCCTAAGCAACTCAGCAAGACTCTGTTTCTAAATAAAGTATAAAAAATGGGGGGCTGGGGTTGTGGTTCACTGGTAGAGCGCTTGCGTCACATGTGTGAGGCACTGGGTTCAATTCTCAGCACCACATATAAGTAAATGAATAAAATAAAGGTCCATCAACAACTAAAAAAAAAAAAAAAATTTTTTTAAATGGCTGGGGCTGGTAATAGTGGCACATGCCTGGAATCACAGCGATTTGGGAGGCTGAGATAGGAGGATCACGAGTTCAAAGCCAGCCTCAGCAACTCAGCAAGACCCTATCTCTAATAAAATATAAAAATAAAAAGGGCTGCAGATATGGCTTGGTAGTAAAGCATCCCTAGGTTCAATCCCTGGTATTAAAAAAAAAAAAAAAAAAAGGATAAGGATGTTGCTCAGTGGTTAAGCACCCTGGGTTCAATCCTCAGTACCAAAAAAAAAAAAAAAAAAAAAAAAGTTAACTGGAAAAGGAAAGGGCTTATAAAGAAGTTCTGATAGTGTCTGGTTAAGATATGATATAAAGAATAAAAGGGCATAGAGCCTGCAACATAAAAGGTATTCAAAATTTGATTTCTTTGATCAAATTATACAGTTATCAGGAACATCTAAAGGATTCCAATAAGGAAGATTATGTCCCTGAAAGGGTTTTCCTTAATGCAAAGTTTCCTAAAAGTACTTCATAACATGGGTTTCCTTATCTTCTATTAAAAACAATTCTGTGATCAAGTAAGTTTGGGAAATTCTACTTAACACTTCCTTCTGTAAGAAATGTACCCATCGCATTATCATATTAAAAGGACTAATAAGTACTAAAGTGAAAAAAATTTAATCTTACTTTATTCTCAGGGTTCCTCAAACTTTCATGCCTATTGAACCCATTTTTCTAGACACACCTATTATCTTACAGGATACAGTATCCAAGGAATATAGTTTGGGAAATACTGCGCTTGATTGTGATAATACTTAATAAGCCACTTTCTAATCTTATGTTTCCCAGAGTCTTTCCTATTGCTAACTTAATAAACCTACTTTTTCTTTTTGGTACTGTGAATTGAACCAGGGGTGCTTAACCACTGAGTCACCTCTAGCCCTTTTTATTTTTTATTTTGAGACAGGCTGTCACTAAGTTGCTGAGGCTAGCTTTAAACTTGGCAATCTTTCTGCTTCAGCCTCCCAAATTGCTGGGATTAAAGGCATGTGCCTCTGCATCTGGCCTAAATCTACTTTCTTAAATATGTGAGTAGCAATAAGCTTTCCTCAAAGTCTGACCAACTCTAGAAGCACCACATATCAAAACTTCAGGCATGCCAGGCATGGTGGCACACACCTCTAATACCAGCAACTCATGAGGCTGAGGCAGGAGGACTACAAGTTCAAGGCTGGCTTCAGCAATTTAGCAAGGCCCTAAACAATTTAAGAAGACCTTGTTTCAAAATAAAAAGGGATGGCTGTGATGTCCCTCACCACACTACATCTTCAGTCCTTTAATTGTGTGTCGGGGGCCTCCATGAACAGGAGCTGAGCACAACTCTTAGCCTTGAGCGATGGAGGTGTAGAACTGGCTTCTGCTCACAGCGCAAAAGCAGATGGACCTCATCTTCACTTGGCAAGGAATTATACAGCTCTGGGAGTGAGCCTCACCACCCTGAAACCCATTGGGTGGAACTTTCTCAAGTGTCTTCCCCTCAATAAATAGGATGGTTTCAGGCGTGCTCTCTCTCTTTCTAATAGACCCTTAAGTTGGAGAGCCATCCCTGATTCCTGCAAGCAAAAGGTAAAAATAAATAAATAAATAAATAGAAAATAAAAAGGGATGGGAATGTAGCTCAATAGTTAAGTGTCCCTGGGTTCCATCCTTGGTACCAAAAAAAAGAAAAGAAAAGAAAAATTCCAGGCACACAATCTCAAAGATCAAATACTATTCCTTTTTTTTTTTTTAAAGTTGTAGATGGATACAATACTTTTATTTATTTTATTTGGTGCTGAGGATTAAACCAAGTGCTTCACACGTTAACAAGAAAGCACTCCACCACTGAGCTACAACCCCAGCTCTCAGGATCAATTCTTGAGCATCAACCAACATACCTCTCACAGATACCACAATGACTATGGAAAAATCCCAAGCACATTCTCTCATATATAAACCCTTAATATCTATTCCAAAATCATCACTAATTGGACCTTTGCAACCCAGACAGTATGCATCCTACTGCTCAGAGCCTTCAAATGGAAAGGCCCTAAATACAACTGGATATCCTGGAACAGAAAAACTATGAGAATGAAGAAACAATATTATGTACCAATGTTAATTTCTTAGTTGTGACAAATATTCTATAAGATATTAACATTCACAGAAGCTAGGTGAAAGGCTACAGGAACTTTTTGTGTTTACAACTTTTCTATAAGTAAAATTATTTAAATAAATAGATTCTTTTAGGGCAGTGGCAGAGCACTTGCCTAGTATGTGTGAGGCATTGGGTTTAATCCTTAGCATAACATGAAAATAAACAAAATAAAGGCATTCTGTCCATCTACAACTACAAAATCAATCAATCAATCAATTAATCAACCTACCTTAGATTACTATTATTAGTACTACTACTACTACTACTACCACTACTAATGACTACACAAATGCATACTATGGAAAAAATGTTTACATATAATTATTATGGGCATTTATGATGATTATATAATAGGTATTTTTTTGAAGGATAATTTAATTTTTTCATCATATAACCATCATAAAATGCTCATTTAAAGAGTTTTGTTGAATTAAGAGAAAGAGAATGCCAAGTATTAGCAAAGATATGGAGCTAACAAAACTCAACATATCAGTGAAAATAACATTGTGTAGAACATAATGAATACCTCAAATATCGAATAAAAGGCAGATCCCAAAATGAATATAGATTCTATTCCTTTACCCCATCCCTCAAATTTTACTTACCCTATCATAGAGTTCAATGATTAAATGATAAGCAGCTTCATCACTTCCAAATTGAAAATCTACAATTCTATCCACACCAAGCTGTTTTGCACTGACTAACCTCCGACTCTTCAAATGTTTTCGGCACTAGCAAAAAACAGGAAAAAAAGGCATTTATGAGGTAAAAGTAAATTTCTGTTTGGTACTGGTTCTTTTCATTACCATCAGGAATAATATTTAAATGGTAGTAAAACAGTGTAGTCATAATAAAACAAAAGTTTGTTGATGAAAAAGGAAAAAATTCAAGACAACTAACTGCTAATTCTGAAATTGCATTTTATATTCAAAATTTTAAAATAACAGACCTATAGCAAAATATGCTTTGCTCATTTATAGCACTGGCAAATAAATACTTTGATATGACTTCACTCAAAGACATAACTTTTTTTTTTTTGGTGCTGCATATCAAACTCAGGGCCTCTAACACTCTGAAGATACTCTACCACTGAGCTAGATTCCCAACCTCTTCATCTTTTTAAAGTCTTTTCCTATGCCAATCTGTTAAGTATCCAAATTTCTTTTTGTGTGCTTCACTGTTTTCCAATTTTTTCCCACTGATCTACTTTAAATATGAAATATGGATCATGAATTTATGGTACACTGGAAATTTAATCCCCCTACTTATATCCATTTACCTTCTATTCAACCTTTTGATTAATCTATTTCATATCCAAACATACTAATTCCTATTCTTTATCAAATGCCATTTCTTCTATCCCTAGCCATAAGGTTCTTTTTCTTATTGACAATTAAAATAAAATTAGCAAGATCCAGTCAAAAGAAAAGAAAGGAAGAAAAAGACAGACAAGGTTAAAATGAAAAGTCATCCTAGAAAGGATAGCAGTTTACACCATGGAAAGGTGAAATAGAGATTCTTGATCATGGTAAATACAAATAGTTATATATTACATTCATAAAGCTTGTTTTTTGGTTGGTTTTTTTTTTTTTGGTAGTCAATTTACCATTGAGTCACATCCTTGTCCTTTTTATTCTTCGAGACAGGATCTTGCTAAATTGTCTCAGTCTCCCAAATTGCTGGAATTATAGGTGGGCACAATTATGCCCAGCTCCAAAGCTTGTTTTCTTTCCCTACAACAGCATAGTGAAAACAATCTTCTCCTCACTGCCAAAGAAGTATAGTTGGCAACCACAAATATAAGAACCAGGAACAATCATTGTGATTTACCACATACTAGGCCTGACCCTGCCTATGCCAAACAGTTAACAGCTCTTTATTTATAAAGTGTTAAACACTGTCTGCTCCATTGGAGAAAATCTTTCAACACATTTAAATTGACAAACACACCAGAATCAGAATTCTAAGGAAGTTTTTTTTTCCTGGTCGTTTTAAGAGTGCCTGGCCCTTATGAATGTGGCCTGATTTGGAAATGTTCCCATGATCTACTGTCATCTCTTTAACCGTCCTGTTAACTCATCAGTAATACTGATAATATTCGTTCCTTATATTCCACTGTGTTGCTAAGTAACTTAAATAAAATACATATTTATCTATGTTAAAAAGTACTATATAAATTCAAAGAGTCAGCCAAAGGTGGCACATGCCTATAATCCCAGTATCCAAGCACCTTGGACTTGGAAGGCTGAGGCAGAAGGATCTCAAGTTTGAGGCCAGCCTGAGAATGTAGGGAGATGATATTTCAAAATGAAATAAAAAGGGTTGGGGATGTAGCTCAGAAGGACGCTCCAAACACCCATTTTGGGTTAATATTAAGTAAACTAAATGTCAATAGCTGGGCCTGCTGGTGCGTGTCTTTAATTCCAGAGACTTGGGAGACTGCGTCAGGAAAATTAAAAGTTATAGGCCAGCAACTCAGTGAAACCCTTTCTCAAAAATAAGATAAAAAAGGACTGAGGATGTAGCTGGCACTGGGGTTCCATCCCCAGTAACCCCCATAAATAAATAAATACATAAAATAAACTTTAATAATTTAATAACTTTGTGAAAGCTCTTATAAAATGGGAAACACCTAATCTTTAATCAAAAACAAATTCTAAGTTGCTGGGGGTAAAGTTCTTCTCTATAGTCTCTACTGAAATAATATAATGCCATAACAAATTTCTAAAGAACAGGGGAGAAGAATGAAATTAACACATATGCAACTCTAATACGTGTCAAGCATTGTGTTAGATACTTTACCTGTTACTTCAATTAATTCTCATCAATAACTCTGAGGGAGTTACTAACCACATTTTACACTTAAATAAACTAAGTTCTGAAAGGTTAAATAAGTTTTACAGGTTAAAAAACTATTTAGTGGCAAATTAATTCAAGTTTAGGTATATCTAACTAAAAAGTCAGTCTTCTATATATCACATGAATTTTTAATATATAGTTGTATCATGGGTAATACGTCAGGCATGGTTGTGTATGCCTGTAATCAATCCTATCTACTTGGTAAGCTTAGGCAGGAGAATCACAAGTTTCAGGTCAGTCTGGGCAATTTGGCAAGACCTTGTTCCAAAATAAAATAAAGAGTAAGGGTGTAACTTAGTGCTTGCATAGCATGTGTAACGGTTCAATCCATAATGCTCCGCATGTTCCCCCCACATACACAAAAAGGGTCACGTGCCCACAAACGTAAAAATCTCAATTTTAATACTAAAAACAAAAACAAAGAGAGAAGTGAAAAATAACAAGATTTAATGACTTGGTAACTTTTTTTTTAATTTTTAGTTGTAGATGGACATGACACCTTTGTTTATTTATTTTTATGTGGTGCTAGGGATCAAACCCAGTGCCTCACACATGCTAAGCGAGTGCTAGGTGAGTGCTCTACCACTAAGCCACAACCTCAGCACCTTGATAACATATTAATATCATTAAGTATTCTAGCAAAATACAGATCAGGAAGAGGGATACAGTCCACAAAGGTGAGCTCTAGGTGATAAGACTAGGGGGAAAAAAATGGGGAGGTGCTGATCATAGAAAGCCAACAATGTCAGGATACTGAGTATGAATTCAGAAATTAGAGCATAGTATCAGGTGAAATAACTAATGAAAATGTGTAGCATGCTACAGCGGTACACACCTGTAATCCCAGCAGTTTAGGAGGCTGAAACGGGAGAATGGCAAGTTCAGAGCCAGCCTCAGCAAGGCAAGGCACTAAGCAACTGAATGAGATCCTGTCTCTAAATAAAATACAAAATAGGGCTGGGGATGTGGCTCAGTAGTTGAGTGCCCCTGACTTCAATCTTAGTACCCTCCTAAAATAAGAAAATTACTGTTGTCTAAGAGAATTGTTTTGAAGGAGAGAAGAGGAGTACAGTTAAGGGGCTATACAATTGGTTGGGATAAAGACTGAACTGGAACTTGATTGTGGAAACAGAAAAAAGATAACAGGGAGAAGTCAATAAACACCTACTTTGTTCATCCCATTACCTATTAACTATTCCCTCTACCTTTATCTGTGTTTTATTCATAACAGCATAGAAAACCCAAACAGTTTAAAAACTCAATTGTTAGTTATCAAGTCCTTAAAATTTAGCTCCCAACATAACTTAAAATTTACCTTCATGGCAAAACTAGATGGCATCATATTCTTTGGCCATTCAAATTCTGTTGTGTGAATCCGTATGCCAGATTCAAGTAAAAGTGTTGCTTTAAAGTCTGGTCTATAGAAGAAAAAAAAGTCAAATTTTTAAGGGAATTTGCCAAAGTTTACTCTACAAAACAGATTTAAAATGTGGATAAGAAAATCAAATATCTCATAATTACCAAAGAGAAAACAAACCTATAAAATTTTCTTACTTTTGAAGACGAATAAGATATGTCTTATTATCCACATCATAAACATTGTTTACTCTCATTCCTAGCAAGCTGAAAAGACAAAAGAAACATGTAACAAAACACACTATTGTTTGAAACATAAAACTACACACAGTTTAATTAAAGCTGCAAAATAGGAACGCTTCAGCTTTATCAAAGTGGGAGTCCAGAAACCATTAAGGCATTCTGTCCGAAACTTAAAGCGTAACCACTTAAGCACAGAAGTGGTCTGTCAGCCCTGGGAACGCCATAAAATGCCTCGCGTCTTTGAAATAACTCACTCCTTTGGGGCGGGGGGTATAGTAAAATGTAACTAATTTATGACAAAAAGAGAAAAAAGACAAACGAGGCCCCTGGAAGTATGACAAAGGTCACTCAGATGAATAATATGAAACAAGACTGGAATCCAGGTCTCAGTCCACATCTGCCAATGCCAGCTGAAACAGCAAGGTTAGCTTTCTCTGGCGTGAGGGCTGTTGAGGAAACCAGGCCTCCAGTCTGGAAACCAAAAACAGAGGACCAACTGGCGTCTCGGTTATTCCAAACATTTGCTGCCAGACCAGGGTCGACATGGCGAGAGCGCCGCAATTGCGGGACAAAAACAGGGCGCAGAGGGCTGGAGAAGGGGTCCGCGGTCCCCGGGGCCTCCCGGGTGTCCTGAGGGCAGCAGCAAAGACGCCACGCGCAAGCCCACCCAGGCCTAACCAGGTCCACAGAACAGACTGGAAGGCAATAAGGAGACACATCAGGCTGGTCTTGTTTTCAACGTGGGGCCCCTGATCTGCTTCCTGCAGTTCTAGCAGGAGCCTAGCCACCTACAGGACCGTACCTAGCATTCAGCTCCGCCAATACGGCACGGAGGTCAATCGTGCTAAAGCGCGTCTTCATGGCGAGGCGTTGAGTGTCGCTACCGCAGTTTTCTCCGCTGCCAGCCTGACTCGACGCCGCTACTCTTCCGCGCAGGCGCACTTGAAGGAGACCTACGGTCGCCCTGAAGACCCAATATTCATTGAAGGGAACCCGTTTGCGTATTTGTCTGAAGAATTCAACTATTAAATTACAATCGACTCGCTTTTTGTTACACCAAAACAATTCTAATTAAATAGATACAAACTGTTCTCATAAATCTGCATCCCTTCCTCGAACATTTACGGGCCACTCTGGTTACCCTGTCCCCTCGTTTGGGAACTCAATCCAGCCTCCATAGTGACTCCTGCTGGTCATAACAATTTTTAAGGGGAATATCGGGAGAATTCCCCCCGGTAGACGATAGGGCTCAGTATAGAAGAGCAATGACCCTGGATTACCTAAACTATGTCGAATTTGTAAATGTAAGGAAGCCGAACTGTCTCATTCGTCCTAAGATTGTCTTCCACGATCGAGGAGAAGCCTGAAAGAGAAGTTACTATTTTCATGGGTACTGCTCTCCGAAAGAGCATTTTGCCTCATCCAACCCTGGTCTCGGTATCCCCGAGACTCGGTGTAGAATCTGGTATCCAACTGGGGCTTCATGAATTCTCGTTACCCTGAATAATGATGAAGTAAGATAAACCTAAAAATAAGATTTCTCACTTAGTGGGGGATGGAGGATGAAACAATGTGTGAAATCAATAGTCATGCAAAAATATATATATATATAAATAGGCAAGTTTTGGTTGTCTTAGGGTAAATTCATGGGAAGAAAGACCACTTTAATTGAGAACTCCAAAGACCTGGGTCTCACTATGTTGCCTAAGTTGAGCCGCAGTAGCTATTGACCACTGCAATCCCACTGTTGATCAGCACGGGAGTTTTTATTTGTTTATTTTGTTCCTGGTGATTGAGCTTAACCACTGAACCACATCCCCGGCCCATTTGATTCCCCTCCCCCCCACACACACAGGGTTTCCCTAAATTGTTCAGGGCCTCGCTAAGTTGCTGAGGCTGGCTTTGAACTTGCAATCCTCCTGCTCCAGAGTCGCTGGGTTACAGGTGTTTCTGACTTGCGAAGGTTCACCTCCTTAGGCAACCTGAGGGCCCCCAGCTTCTGGGCGGTCACCATGCATAGCGCACAACTCCTGGGGTCAAAAGATACCTCTGCCCTAGCCTCCAGGCATAGAGCAGAAAGCTCCTGGGCTGAGTTTGAGGGCCACACATCTCCGCAACTAGACTCCCTACCCGTAGAAAGCGACACTTAAGAAGAAAGGGCGTGGTATAGATTCAGAGTAACCCAAGAATTATAGATGCAAAAGGGGCTACAGTACATATGGCACAACATAACTTTGTCATATGGCACAATATAACTTTGTCATATGGCACAGTAAACCAAACAGAATACTCACAATTTGTAATAAACCTTTGGAAGGTTTAAGATAGATGAAGCCGAGATGATCCCAGTTCAAAGTGCCAAATTGAGAGGACTAAATGTACATAAAAGATACTAAGTTTACCAAGTTTGTTGGCCTGAAGTCCTTCCCAAACAAAAAGCTTTTTTCTTTGGGGGAAAAAAAAAAAAGCGCCCTTGAAAGACTCCATGTTAAAAGAGACAACACTCATGTGCTTCTTTAAAAATAAAAACTGGGATTGGGATGTAGCTCAGTACCCCGCTGCCCACCCTCCCAAAATGAAGCACCTTATTACAAAACTCTCACCTTAGGACCCAAGACAGTAAGACAGATGTAAGATATCTAAGTTTTACATGGGAAAATTGACAATTGACAATTTACACAGGACATTGCTTATTGCTTCCATGTCTGTCAAGAAAAATTGGCATTAGAAGGTATGTGCAAGACTGTCTATAAGAGTAGATCAAGATAAATGTAAAGATCACAAGAAAACTTCATTATTTAGTACTGAATTGCATCGTTTCTATTTTTTATTCATTTCTCAGAAAATTATGAAGCAAGGATGCTTGAGGATTTGTGGGTAAATGAAAAGCTAACAGGAGATAGGCATGTCATCTTCAAATTGTCAAAGTGAATAGTTACTTGACCCAACAAAAAGTTTGTAGGAAATTTTTAATAGACTAGTTATAGGCACCTAGAGCTGTGATTCTCACACTTAAGTGTTCATTCAAAAATTCCTGGTATCATACCCAGAGTTTCTGATTCCTTAACTTTGGCTCAGAGTATGTACATTTTCAACTGTGAAGATGAAAGGAACTTGTGACCTACAGGTGTAAATACTATGAGTATTTATATGCTCTTGGAGATTCACTAACCTCTAGACAATCAGAGACCACTGGGGTTTTTTCACAAAAAACAAGACATTTATTAGTCTCACTTTCTACTCAACTTAGGGAAATGTTCACTGCCTATTCTCAGATGTTTTCATAATTGAGGTGAGTTCCATAACATATAATTCACCATCTTACCCATTTTAAAATGTACAATTCAGAAACTATTGAAATATTCACAGTGTTGTTAAACTGCCTCCATTATCTAGTTCCATAAAATTGAGGTGGATTTTTTTTCCCCTGGGAAAAAAACAGAGAACACATTTTGGAATTAACCAAAAGCAACAATTTATTCCAGAAAGGACTGCAGATATTAGCATCATGAAAGCTGCCTAGAGCTTTGAGTCCCTATGTAGCCAACTGCAACCTAACTTAATATGTGAACAAACTGAAAGTCTAAGAATATATTTTTATAACAAATAGCTGTCTCAGCCAGTCCTAGTAGCTGAGCTCCAGTCAGTTACCAGCTGCTAACT